CACCATCTACATGCTGTGTCACCTTCAAACAAACACCATCTACATGTCGTGTCACCTTTATACCAAACACTGTCCACATATTGTGTCCCCTTTTTACCAAACACTGTCCACACATTGTGTCACCTTTTTACCAAACACTGTCCACACATTGTGTCACCTTTTATACCAAACACTGTCCACACATTGTGTCACCTTTTTACCAAACACTGTCCACACATTGTGTCACCTTTTTACCAAACACTGTCCACACATTGTGTCACCTTTTTACCAAACACTGTCCACACATTGTGTCACCTTTTTACCAAACACTGTCCACACATTGTGTCACCTTTTTACCAAACACTGTCCACACATTGTGTCATCTTTTTACCAAACACTGTCCACACATTGTGTCACCTTTTTACCAAACACTGTCCACACATTGTGTCACCTTTTTACCAAACACTGTCCACACATTGTGTCACCTTTTTACCAAACACTGTCCCCACACTGTGTCACCTTTTTACCAAACACTGTCCACACGTTGTGTCGCCATTATGCCAAACACCATCCAACATGTTTTGTTAACTATATACCAAACACCATCTACATGCTGTGTCACCTTCAAACAAACACCATCTACATGTCGTGTCACCTTTATACCAAACAAACACCATCTACATGTTGTGTCACCTTTATACCAAACAAACACCATCTACATGTCGTGTCACCTTTATACCAAACAAACACCATCTACATGTTGTGTCACCTTTATACCAAACAAACACCATTCACATGTTGTGTCACCTTTATACCAAACAAACACCATCCACATGTTGTGTCACATTTATACCAAACAAACACCATTTACATGTTGTGTCACCTTTAAACCAAACAAACACCATCTACATGTTGTGTCACCATTATACCAAACAAACACTATTCACATGTTGTGTCACCTTTATACCAAACAAACACCATCTACATGTTGTGTCACCTTCATACCAAACAAACACCATCTACATGTTGTGTCACCTTTATACCAAACAAACACCATCCACACGTTGATCTGTCTCTGTGTTGCGTTACCTCTATAAAACAAAACATTACCTTTGTACAAGAAAACACAATTTCTGTGTTGTGTCACTTCTATATAAGAAACACTATTTGAAGTCACAAAATGTATCACATAAATCAAGTTTATTACAATATTGTGTTATGTGTCTGCTTGTGTTGTTCTTGCATTTATAAAACAACTAAACACAGAAAACAAGATATGTACAATAAATTAGTGAATCTGTGATTGTGGTGATGGGAGGGTGGGTGACTGTGATTGTGGTGATGGGACGGCTGGTGACTCTGTGACAGTGGTGATGGGACGGCTGGTGACTCTGTGATTGTGGTGATGGGAGGGTGGGTGACTCTGTGACTGTGGTGATGGGACGGTTGGTGACTCTGTGACTGTGGTGATCGGAGGGTGGGCGACTCTGTGATTGTGGTGATGGGAGGGTGGGCGACTCTGTGACTGTGGTGATGGGAGGGTGGGTGACTCTGTGACTGTGGTGATGGGACGGTTGGTGACTCTGTGACTGTGGTGATGGGAGGGTGGGTGACTCTGTGACTGTGGTGATGGGAGGGTGGGTGACTCTGTGAATGTGGTGATGGAGGGTGGGTGACTCTGTGATTGTGGTGATGGGAGGGTGGGTGACTCTGTGACTGTGGTGATGGGATGATGAGTGACTCTGTGATTGTGGTGATGGGGCTGTGGGTGACTGTGATTGTGGTGATGGGACTGTGGGTGACTGTGATTGTGGTGATGGGATAGTGAGTGACTCTGTTATTGTGGTGATGGGAGGGTGGGTGACTCTGTGACTGTGGTGATGGGAGGGTGGGTGACTCTGTGATTGTGGTGATGGGAGGGTGGGTGACTCTGTGACTGTGGTGATGGGATGGTTGGTGACTCTGTGACTGTGGTGATCGGAGGGTGGGCGACTCTGTGATTGTGGTGATGGGAGGGTGGGCGACTCTGTGACTGTGGTGATGGGAGGGTGGGTGACTCTGTGACTGTGGTGATGGGACGGTTGGTGACTCTGTGACTGTGGTGATGGGAGGGTGGGTGACTCTGTGACTGTGGTGATGGGAGGGTGGGTGACTCTGTGAATGTGGTGATGGAGGGTGGGTGACTCTGTGATTGTGGTGATGGGAGGGTGGGTGACTCTGTGACTGTGGTGATGGGATGATGAGTGACTCTGTGATTGTGGTGATGGGGCTGTGGGTGACTGTGGTGATGGGACTGTGGGTGACTGTGATTGTGGTGATGGGATAGTGAGTGACTCTGTTATTGTGGTGATGGGAGGGTGGGTGACTCTGTGACTGTGGTGATGGGAGGGTGGGTGACTCTGTGATTGTGGTGATGGGAGGGTGGGTGACTCTGTGACTGTGGTGATGGGATGGTTGGTGACTCTGTGACTGTGGTGATGGGAGGGTGGGTGACTCTGTGACTGTGGTGATGGGAGGGTGGGCGACTCTGTGACTGTGGTGATGGGAGGGTGGGTGACTCTGTGACTGTGGTGATGGGAGGGTGGGTGACTCTGTGAATGTGGTGATGGGAGGGTGGGTGACTCTGTGACTGTGGTGATGGGAGGGTGGGTGACTCTGTGATTGTGATGATGGGAGGGTGGGTGACTCTGTGACTGTGGTGATGGGATGATGAGTGACTGTGATTGTGGTGATGGGACTGTGGGTGACTGTGATTGTGGTGATGGGATGGTGGGTGACTCTGTGATTGTGGTGATGGGAGGGTGGGTGACTCTGTGACTGTGGTGATGGGAGGGAGGGTGACTCTGTGACTGTGGTGATGGGAGGGTGGGTGACTCTGTGACTGTGGTGATGGGAGGGTGGGTGACTCTGTGACTGTGGTGATGGGAGGGTGGGTGACTCTGTGACTGTGGTGATGGCAGGGTGGGTGACTCTGTGACTGTGGTGATGGGAGGGTGGGTGACTCTGTGACTGTGGTGATGGGAGGGTGGGTGACTGTGATTGTGGTGATGGGACTGTGGGTGACTCTGTGATTGTGGTGATGAGATGATGAGTGACTCTGTGATTGTGGTGATGGGATGGTGGGTGATTGTGACTGTGGTGATCAGCCCCTGGCAATAATGGTGTAGTGTTGTGACACTAGTGGTAATGGTGGAGTGTTGTGACACTGGTGGTAATGATAGTGTTGTGACACTGGTGGTAATGGTTTAGTGTTAGGACAGTGGTGGTAATGGCTGAGTGTTGGGACAGGGATGGTTATCAATGAATGTTGTGACAGTGGTGGTAATGGTTCAGTGTTGCGATAGTGGTGGTAATGGTTGAGTGTTGTGACACTGGCAGTAACAGTTAAGTGTTGTGACACTGGCAGTAACTTTGGAGTGTTAGGATAGTGGTGGTAATGGTTCAGCATTGCAGATCTGACACAAATATTTCAAAATCAAATCATTCATGCAAAAAAACAGAAGAGACCAGACCTGAAATGTGTTTGCATGAGCGTGCACTGTGTGTGCGTGTCTGGATGCACACACATTTGTGTGTGTGTGTGTGCATGTGCCACTTTGTGTGCGTGCATGCATGTGCACTGTAGGTTGGCTATTGTGAGGTAAAGTGATCGCACCAGGACAAAGAAACAAACAGTGACATGAAGTGACATCGACAATAATGTCATATGTCAGCAAATGTTGTATCATGTCAGCAAATGTTGTATCATGTCTGCAAATGTTGCACCCACTAACTACACCACACAAGTATAATATTGCACTAATAAATATAATATATCACATGCACACACACAAACACAAGCATACACACACATACATACATACAAAATTGAAATATATTACACTACTACCACCACACATGCATGCATGCACACACAATTAACACACACACACATGTACACAGTGTCCTAAAGTTGACCTATATTACACCAGCAGGCAGCTCATGCACACACACAATTAACACACACACACATGTACACAGTGTCCTAAAGTTGACCTATATCACACCAGCAGGCAGCTCATGCACACACAATTAACACACACACACATGTACACAGTGTCCTAAAGTTGACCTATATTACACCAGCAGGCAGCTCATGCACACACAATTAGCACACACACACACATGTACACAGTGTCCTAAAGTTGACCTATATTACACCAGCAGGCAGCTCATGCACACACAATTAGCACACACATACACGTACAGTGTCCTAAAGTTGACCTATATTACACCAGCAGGCAGCTCATGCACACACAATTAACACACACACACATGTACACAGTGTCCTAAAGTTGACCTATATTACACCAGCAGGCAGCTCATGCACACACAATTAGCACACACACACACATGTACACAGTGTCCTAAAGTTGACCTATATTACACCAGCAGGCAGCTCATGCACACACAATTAACACACACACACACGTACACAGTGTCCTAAAGTTGACCTATATTACACCAGCAGGCAGCTCATGCACACACAATTAGCACACACACACACATGTACACAGTGTCCTAAAGTTGACCTATATTACACCAGCAGGCAGCGCATGCACACACAATTAACACACACACACATGTACACAGTGTCCTAAAGTTGACCTATATTACACCAGCAGGCAGCTCATGCACACACAATTAACACACACACACACATGTACAGTGTCCTAAAGTTGACCTATATTACACCAGCAGGCAGCTCATGCACACACAATTAACACACACACATGTACACAGTGTCCTAAAGTTGACCTATATTACACCAGCAGGCAGCTCATGCACACACAATTAACACACACACACACATGTACACAGTGTCCTAAAGTTGACCTATATTACACCAGCAGGCAGCTCATGCACACACAATTAACACACACACATGTACACAGTGTCCTAAAGTTGACCTATATTACACCAGCAGGCAGCTCATGCACACACAATTAACACACACACGTACACAGTGTCCTAAAGTTGACCTATATTACACCAGCAGGCAGCGTTTCAAAAGCATCATTGTGTGCTGACTGAGCACTGCTGCGTCGCCGTGGTGTTGCTGCCGTTGTCATGAGAGACAGTTCTGGACAGCCATTAGCTCGCAGCAGTTGAAGACATTCCTTGGAACCTGAGCTACTAGCATACCAGAGTGCGCTGCGGTGTTCATGGTCCAGGACTCGTACATCAGCGTTATACTGGGGACATAACATTGGCAATGTTAGTGGGGACATGACTTGGTTACAGTGAGGACATGACTTGGTTACAGTGGGGACATGACTTGGTTACAGTGTGGACATGATTTGGTTACAGTGTGGGCATGATATGGTTACAGTGGGGACATGGTTACAGTGGGGACATGGTTACAGTGGGGACATGGTTACAGTGGGGACATAGTTACAGTGGGGACATGACTTGGTTACAGGGGGGACATGGTTACATGGGGGACATGACTTGGTTACAGTGGGGACATGGTTACAGTGGAGATATGATTTGGTTACAGTGGGGACTTGGTTACAGTGGGGAAATGACTTGGTTACAGTGGGGACATGACTTGGTTACAGTGGGGACATGGTTACAGTGGGGACATGACTTAGTTACAGTGGGGACATGGTTACAGTGGGGACATGGTTACAGTGGGGACATGGTTACAGTGGGGACATGACATGGTTACAGTGGGGACATGACTTGGCCACAGTGGGGACATGAAATGGTTACAGTGGGGATATGACTTGGTTACATTGGGGACATGGTTACAGTGGGGACATGACATGGTTACAGTGGGGGACATGGTCACAGTGGGGCTATGGTTACAGTGGGGGCATGACATGGTTACAGTGGAGCCATGGTTACAGTGGGGACATGGTTACAGTGGGGGGACATGGTTACAGTGGGAACAGGACAGAATGTGTGCAGAAAGGTCAATCAGAAAGAAAGTGATGTGGTCTGTAAGGTCTGTCAGAAAGAAATGGATGTTTGCTATGAGGTCTTTCAGGAAGAAATGGATGAGTTTGTGAGGTCTGTCAGGAAGAAAGGGACTACAACAGTAGACTTACCCACAGTAACAACTGTACAAAGACAACATTGCCAAGAGCTGCTGCGATATGAAGAGCTGTACGTCCGTCATCTTTGTTGTAGCAAGCATTAATATCATCCGGATCAGCATGGGCCAGGATTATTATAATGCTTCTAATATCTTCGCGAACAAGGGCATCAATCAGCTGCTGCAAGTGTAAACATCCAAGAGTGATTGTGGGCACAGTCATCAGGAAGACGATATAAGCATGGATAAGAGTAGGGGCAAATGTCTGACCTACATCCATAAGTAAACAATTGGAAATCTTAAATGCTATAATATCTATTCAGATAAAAGCACTGAAATACACAATTTACTGGAATATCTGCTTAAGATAAACAATGTGCAGGTGAACACTGAAATACCAGATTCACTGGAATATTTGTTTAGGGTAAACAATATGCAAGGTAGAGCAAGAGGTAGACCAAGAACAATATGGAAGGATAAAATCAGAGATACTCTACAGTAATATGATGTGTTTTTGGTCGAAAAAGTCAGAAAAGAAAAAGCAGGAGCTAATATCTCCCTTGACACCCGAAGCTGTAAATGAGGATGTAAAGAAGAAGAAGAATATGAAAGGTGAGCACTAAAATACCAGATTTACTGGAACATCTGTTTAAAGTAAACAATGTGCAAGGAGAACATTGAAATACCAGATTTACTGGAATATCTGTTTAAGGTAAATAATGCGCAATGTGAACACTGAAATACCTAGATTTACTGGAATATTTATGTAAGGTAAAAGTGAAATTCCTGATTTACTGGAATTTCTATGCAGTGAACACTGATTTACTGGAATATCTATGCAAGGTAAACTCTGTGAAATACCTGATTTACTGGAATATCTATGCAAGGTAAACATGGTGAAATACCTGATTTACTGGAATATCTATGCAAGGTAAACATGGTGAAATACTTGATTTACTGGAATATCTATGCAAGGTAAACATGGTGAAATACCTGATTTTACTGGAATATCTATGCAAGGTAAACTGTAAAATACCTGATTTACTGGAATATCTATGCAAGGTAAACATGATGAAATACCTGATTTACTGGAATATCCATGTAAGGTAGAAGAGGTAAAAACTCTTTGCTTTCATATTTGGCTCGGATCCATCTCTCTTTCTCATCTCTGGGGGAAAAGATAATTATTGAGGTGACTCAATCACATGGCAGGCACAAGAGATACCCCATTGACGCAGTATTGTTGCACACTGATATAGATACCAAATTCAATAACTTTATGAAACATCAAATCTATTTTTAAATGATACATAATACAAACAAACTTGATCATCAGCACATGAGAGCCAGACACAACAAATTTGATCATCAACATATGAGAGCCAGACACAACAAACTTAATCATCAACACATGAGAGCCAGACACACCAAACTTGATCATCAATACATGAGAGCCAGACACAACAAACTTGATCATCAACACATGAGAGCCAGACACAACAAACTTAATCATCAACACATGAGAGCCAGACACACCAAACTTGATCATCAATACATGAGAGCCAGACACAACAAACTTGATCATCAACATATGAGAGCCAGACACAACAAACTTGATCATCAACACATGAGAGCCAGACACAACAAACTTGATCATCAATACATGAGAGCCAGACACAACAAACTGGATCAACACATGAGAGCCAGACACAACAAACTTGATCATCAATACATGAGAGTACAGACACAACAAACTTGATCATCAACACATGAGAGCCAGACACAACAAACTTTATCACCAACACATGAGAGCCAGACACAACAAACTTGATCATCAACACATGAGAGTACAGACACAATAAACTTTATCATCAACACATAAGAGTACAGACACAACAAACTTTATCATCAACACATGAGAGCCAGACACAACAAACTTGATCATCAACACATGAGAGCCAGACACAACAAACTTGATCATCAATACATGAGAGCCAGACACAACAAACTTTATCATCAATACATGAGAACCAGATACAACAAACTTGATCAATACATGAGAGCCAGATACAACAAACTTGATCATCAATACATGAGAACCAGACACAACAAACTTGATCAATATGTGAGAGCCAGATACAACAAACTTGATCATCAATACATGAGAGCACAGATACAACAAACTTGATCCTCGACACATGAAAGAACAGACACAACAAACCTGATCATCAACATATCAACACATGAAAGTATAGACACAACAAACCTGATCATCAACATATTAGAGTAAAGACACAACAAACTTGACTACTGACATATAAGAGTTATAGACACAACAAACTTGATCATCAATACATGAGAGCCAGACACAACAAACTTTATCATCAACACATGAGAGCCAGACACAACAAACTTGATCATCAACACATGAGAGCCAGACACAACAAACTTGATCATCAACACATGAGAGACAGACACAACAAACTTTATCACCAACACATGAGAGCCACACACAACAAACTTGATCATCAATACATGAGAGCCAGACACAACAAACTTGATCATCAACACATGAGAGCAAGACACAACAAACTTAATCATCAACACATGAGAGCCAGACACAACAAACTTTATCACCAACACATGAGAGCCACACACAACAAACTTGATCATCAATACATGAGAGCCAGACACAACAAACTTGATCATCAATACATTAAAGAACAGACACAACAAACCTGATCATCAACATATCAACACATGAAAGTACAGACACAACAAACCTGATCATCAACATATTAGAGTAAAGACACAACAAACTTGACTACTGATATATAAGAGTTATAGACACAACAAACTTGATCATCAACATATGAGAGCATAGACAACAAACTTCATTATCAACACATGAGAGTACAGACACATCAAACTCGATCACTGACATATGAGAGAACAGATATAAAACACATGATCATCAACACATAAGAGTACAGACACAACAAACATGATCACTGACACAAGAAAGGACCTGATTTACCTGTGGGAGCTGGATGAAGGCTTAGCTCGACCCTTGGTGTTGGCCTCCCAGACACTGTTGACTGTCCCATTGCCAATAGACACCATCACCTTTACGACATCGTTTCTGAATCACATAAACATAAACACACAATCTACATCAAACGTCTTTTCTCACCTGTTGTTTCTGCTATTTTCTCTACTTCATTATTCTGTTTCATTATCCATCTGTAACCAGTTCTATGTGTGATTTTTTTTTTCTGTCTTTGACAATCACTATTATCTCTCTATATGTGTAACTAAAAATTCTAGCAGAAGACATGGTACCAGGAAGGAGGGGCAGGGCCGACTGACACAAAGATGGACACAGGATATAAGTGACTCCTTAAGTATGAAAGAACATGAGGTGGGAGAGCTAGAGAGAGAAACCAAGTTTCTTTTAGGCAGACCAGGATGAGAGCGACATTTTATAAAGGACCTGCAACATGATGATGATGATGTGTAACTATTTCTGTCACTGCCTCATTATCTCTAGCTGTGACTACCTCCTACTACGATTACATTCACTTCTGACTAACTCCACCTGTGACTACCTCCACCTGTGACTACCTCAAGCTGTGACTATCTTCATTTGTGACTACCTCCACCTGTGACTAGCTCCATCTGTGACTATCTCCATCTGTGACTACCTCCATCTGTGACTACCTTCACCTGTGACTACCTCCATCTGTGACTGTGACTACCTCCTGTGACTACCTCCACCTGTGACTACATCCATTTGACTGTGTACTACCTCTTTGACTACCTCCACCTTTGACTACCTCCACCTTTTGACTACTTTACCTACGACACCTTCACTATCCCATCTGACTAACTCCACCTGTGACTGCCTCCATCTGTGACTACCTCTACCTGTGACTACCTCCACCTGTGACTACCTCCATCTGTGACTACCTCCATCTGTGACTACCTCCACCTGTGACTACCTCCACCTTTGACAACCTCCACCTGTAACTCCCTCCATCTGTAACTACCTCCACCTTTGACTACCTCCACCTTTGACTACCTCCACCTTTGACTACCTTTACCTACGACTACCTCTATCTGTGACTACCTCGACCTGTGACTACGCCCATCTGTAACTATTCCACTTGTGACTACCTCCACCTTCCACCTGTGACTTCCTCCATCTGCGACTACCTCCATCTGTGACAACCTCCATCTGCGACTTCCTCCACCTGTGAATTCCTCCACCTGTGACTACCTCCACCTGTGACTACCTCCACCTGTGACTACCTTCATCTTTGACTTCCTCCACCTGTAACTACCTCCATCTGTAACTACCTCCATCTGTGACTACCTCTGCCTGTGACTACCTCCATCTGTAACTACCTCCATCTGTGACTACCTCTGCCTGTGACTACCTCCACCTGTAACTACCTCCACCTGTGACTACCTCCACCTGTGACTACCTCCACCTGTGACAACCTCCACCTATGACTGCATTCCCCTGTGTCTACCTCCATCTGTGACTACCTCCACCTGTGACTTCCTCCACCTGTGACTTCCTTCACCTGTAACTTCCTCCACCTGTGCCTACCTCCACCTTTGACTACCTTTACCTGTGACAAACTCTATCTGTGACTGCCTCCATTTGTGACTGCCTCCAGCTGTAACTACCTCCACCTGTGACTTCCTCCATCTGTGACAACCTCCACCTGTGACTACCTCCACCGGTGACTACCTCCACCTGTGACAACCTCCATCTGTGACTGCCTCCATCTGTGACAACCTCCATCTGTGACTTCCTCCATCTGTGACAACCTCCACCAGTGACTACCTCCACCTGTGACTACCTCCACCTGTGACTACCTCCATCTGTGACTACCTCCATCTGTGACTGCCTCCATCTGTGACCTCCATCTGTGACAACCTCCATCTGTGACTGCCTCCACCTGTGACTACCTCCATCTGCGACTACCTCCATCTGCGACTACCTCCATCTGTGACTTCCTCCACCTGTGACTACCTCCACCTGTGACAACCTTCATCTGTGACTGCCTCCATTTGTGACTGCCTCCAGCTGTGACTACCTCCAGCTGTGACTATCTCCACCTATGACTACCACCACCTTTGACTATCTCCACCTGTAACTACCTCCATCTGTGACTACCTCCACCTGTAACTACCTCCACCTGTGACTACCTCCACCTGTGACAACCTCCACCTATGACTGCCTCCACCTGTGTCTACCTCCACCTGTGACTTCCTCCATCTGTGACTACCTCCATCTGTGACTACCTCCATCTGTGACTACCTCCATCTGTGACTACCTCCATCTGTGACTACCTCCACCTGTAACTTCCTCCACCTGTGACAACCACCATTTGTGACTGCCTCCATTTGTGACTATCTCCACCCATGACTACCTCCATCTGTGACTACCTCCACCTGTAACTACCTCCATCTGTGACTACCTCCACCTGTAACTACCTCCATCTGTGACTACCTCCACCTGTGACTATCTTCATCTGTGACTAACTCCAACTTTGACTACTTCCACCTGTAACTACCTCCATCTGTGACTACCTCCACCTGTGACTACCTCCATCTGTGACTACCTCCACCTTTGACTGCCTCCATCTGTGACTACCTCTTTTAGTAACTACAAAACCTCTTTTCACTTCTATCCCATCTAGTCTACCAAGTATTGCTTGCAGATATGCAATAAAACACACCAATATTGACTAAGCAAATAGGATGTCATAAGCTTTATGTACTGTAGTTAGGAGATCTGAATCTAAGGGATTTGAAGTCTAGAAGTTTAAGAAGGCGAACATGTAGTCGGGCCTTGGTGGATCCTAGAGAAAGATTTACCCCGAGATTCCATGGAGAAATTTCAGCCTGGAGCTGGGGCGTTACGGCCATCTCTGCAGGAAGCAGGATAACTTTAATCTTTTTTTTTTTCAACTCAGCAAAATGCTGGCTAATCACGAAGGAATGACATGGTCATGTTCATCAGTACTGGATCTGTGGAAGTAACTGTTCACATTTCAAAGTCGAGCTGTTGACCTGTAGAGACACTGTGAAGTAAAAGTATCTATGATTAGATGTTCAATCTAATCTTCACCGCGAGTGTGCGGGAGGACGTCAGAAGTGATTTACTATTTGATCATGTCGGTGAGTTTCTATGTGTTATTTCATGTTCGCTCGCAATGCCAATCCCGAAATCACAATACACCTTTGGGTACATCTACTCCCTGATGTCCTCCAGTCAAAAGAATTAACGCCTTTGAAATGGATTGTTGTTGTTGCTGTTGTACAGTTGTAGTTAAGAGTTCCAGACTGTTGTTGCTGTTGTACAGTTGTAGTTAAGAGTTCCAGACTGTTGTTGCTGTTGTACAGTTGTAGTTAAGAGTTCCAGACTGTTGTTGCTGTTGTACAGTTGTAGTTAGAGTTCCAGACTGTTGTTGCTGTTGTACAGTTGTAGTTAAGAGTTCCAGACTGTTGTTGCTGTTGTACAGTTGTAGTTAGAGTTCCAGACTGTTGTTGCTGTTGTACAGTTGTAGTTAGAGTTCCAGACTGTTGTTGCTGTTGTACAATTGTAGTTAGAGTTCCAGATTCATGTCACCCTTACTTTGACTGGAAAAATGTTTCATTGTTTACATCACACTGACCTTAGCTGACTTGTCTTGAATTTTGGTTGGGACGTATACTACCCCTACTCAAGTATCAGGAGAGCCCTCGCAATCATACCCCTAAGCATCTTGGTGCACTTAACCATAGAAGTTTCATTCAATTATCGTTAGTGTTCTCCAGGCACTATCTCGCATCGGAAATGGAAGTACAGCACATTTCAATGGGGTCCTTCGCCTGTTGACAGCTATTACCTGGCCGATCTTACCTGTCTCACCACGACTGTTACCTCATCAAAATGTAAGACTGAGATCAAACAAGAATTGACAGAATGCAAGATTGTGTGCAAACAAATCAGAAACAACACATAAGAAAAAAACATGAAGCTGCCACTCACGTCCACTCGTCCAGGTCCAGGGAGCGAACTCTGGAGATGTGTGTGCCCAGGTTCCGATGGATGCCAGAACACTCGATACACACCACAGCTCCCAGGTTTATGCTGGCCCAATCAGGAGCTGGCAGACACAAGAACAAACACATCATCATGGTTCTAGTGTGAGTATCGTATCGTATAAAATCAAACAAAAATTCCAAACTTAGTCCTTTTTTAGCCGCCTGATGGCCTGCTTTTTCAAGGACGGTTCCTTTGCTATCTTATTTTATTTATATTCCTTGTGGTGAGCACTTTCACCTGAGTTTGTTCATTTGTTGCCTAAGTTCTGGTTCTGAGGGGCCTGGTTCCTGTTTAATTGGCTATTCGCTAGCTTTTGCACCGTTCATCTGTGTTAGCACCAAGTCAGTTCGAAGTCACACCGCCACGAAACAAACAGTTCCGCATACTGAGCGCCCTAAAACACGGCCCCCACAGGACGACTGTCACAATCTTGTTGTTGTGTGCAGCCGTTAGATAAGTAGAGGAGGTAACAAAGGTTGCAAAAAAATTAGAACGCCCGAAGGTGCAAAGATATTGTATAGCTAGGTCGGAAGTGTGAGTGATTCACCAGACCATTTAAGTTGGCAATACATGGTAAGTTTATCCCTTTCTTTTGTCCTCTTCTTCCCTCTTTTTCCCATCCATCCCTCCATTCCTTTTATCTTTAAATCACACACCTCTAAATCACACAAGCCTCAGAGTCCCCATGCATCCCCAAAAGCTACTCATTTAAAGCCCCAGAGTAACCATCCCTCCCCAAAAGCTACTCATTTAAAGCCCTAGAGTCCCCATCCCTAACCAAAAAGCTACTCACTTAAAGCTCCAGAGTCCCCATCCCTCCCCAAAAGCTACTCACTTAAAGCCCCAGAGTCCCCATCCCTCCCCAAAAGCTACTCATTTAAAGCCCCAGTCCCCATCCCTCCCCCAATCAGCTGAAGCCACTCACTTAGGGACCCACAACTCCTTTTTATTTTCACGTGCACTTCTAGTAATTTCCCGTGGTCTCTGGGTGGTAAGATCAGATGCCCGTGTGTATTGTTACGCACATAAAAAAATCTCTTGACAGTTCGAAATCGAAAAAAGTAGCCAAACAGCGGTGCCAGGGCAAAATGTGGAGTTAAAAATCTACATTAAGTATTTCAAAATCTTTGACGATGCTACTGAGTTCATGCCCTGCGCAGAGATTCTTCAGACTCAGGCTTGAGTTAGAAGATGTAGATCAGAGCACTTATGGGTTACTACCCTTGTGCCATGATGTTGATCTATTGTTTAAACCTAAACCTAACCTCCCCCCTCCCCTTTTCCTAAGATCAGTTGAAGCCACTCACTTGGAGCCCCACAGTCGGCACAAGCATTGTTGCCAGCTGTGTTTCTGATTGCCTGGATGCCAGCCGGGTCACAATTGTTGGTTTTCTGCAAAGTATCCAGCAAAGAATGTGTGTAGCTTTAAAAAAAAAAAAAAGACAAAAACACATACCCAAAAAAAAGACAGCACACATTCGACATGTCCACACTTTAAACAGTCCTGCAATCCCACACAGTCAAAAAACAAATAGACTGAACAGACACAGTAAAGTGTGTGTGAACAAAGTAGACTGAACTAGATAGAATAGAGTGTGTCAACAAACTGTAGACTGCAAACAGATAAATACAGTAGATTGTGAATAGACGTGAATATAATGCAGGATAGCCTGAACAGATAAGCTCAGTAAACAGCACAGACGAAGCATCTATACTTGTTCTATCTGGGGTATCAGATACTTGTGGCACCTCTGGCAAGGTAACCATCATGTCCTTCTTAGGGCAGTTCACCACAACTGGGCTAGTTTTAGCACTCAACTCTCTTCTGTGGCTCCCAGCAGCTGCCAGCATGTGACAGGACAGCGACCATCCCAGGGCAACAGCTTTGACTGGCTTGCTAAACCAGGAAAGGGTAGTCGACCTCGGTGACTGAGATATGCCTACCCTGCATGCAAAGATAGGACTTCGCGAACTGTGTGGATGAAACTTCTTATGATTCAATGGATTAGAAGGTGATTACCAGCAGGCTCTGTGGAGAGTTTAAAGCAAGGCAGGGCATTTAGGACGCCTTGGTCATCCACTGCATCTAGGCCCATTTGCTATCGTCTCGACATCGTCCTGACTTTCTGGATCAAGAAAGACACAGGTGAGAGATGAATTGCGCAGCTCCTCCTCACTTAAATCAAAGTTCTTGCGCAAGTCGCTTTTATCCAACAACATATGAGGGGAAGTCAATAAGTAAGTCACAAATGGTTATGGGATGGCAGGAAAATGAAGTTGGTGGTTTCTAAGGGTGTAATTAGGTGACAGCAACATCAAACTTTATGTCTCCATTCGTTAGGTGGCATTAGGTGTTGCATGTGCATTCGCAACACAGAAACAAAACGGCGACTGTAAGGGAGATGTACTGAAAGTACATAGTACTGTTTTTTTTTTTTTGGGGGGGGGGGGGGGGGGGGGGGGGGGGGGGGGGGGGGGGGGGGGGGGGGGGGGGGGGGGGGGGGGGGGGGGGGGGGGGGGGGGGGGTCACAAAGTTTTTCAAGGACGCTCTAAAACTGCTGGTGAAGTCTGATCTGGTCGTCCTGTTGAGATTGCAACAGATGCATCTGTGCAGCGGGTGAAGGAGATATTTAGAGATGATAGGCGAGTAATGGTTGACTCTGTAGCAGCTGTAATAGGGTGCTCACATGGTTCAGCATACAATATAATGGTCCACTGAAAACCCTTCATTGTGGGAGTCATTTCGCAAATATGGCAGAAGTTGAACGGGAACTGAAAATGTGGTTAAGAAAACAGAACACGCAATTCTATGCAGCAGGTTTGTGACGACCGATGAAAAAAATAGGACAAGTGCATCAATGTTGGTGGAAATTATGTTGAAAAATAAAAGGACAATGTGTGAAAATAAACGGTTTTCAAGTTTTCATCTTTAGTTTTTTTAATGAACCTTTTGTGACTTACTTTCTGACTTTCCCTTTTATACCATAATTACACTTGTCCTATGGGTGTATGTATATTGTGGGTGTGTGTACCTGTCATATGGGCATGTGTCCTGTCATGTCAGTGTGTAACTGTCATATGGGTGGGTGTACTTGTCATATGGGTGGGTGTACTTGTCATGTGGGTGGGTGTACCTCTCGTGAGGGTGGGTGTACCTCTCATGAGGGTGGGTGTACTTGTCATGTGGGTGGGTGTACCTGTCATGTGAGTGGGTGTACCTCTCATGTGAGTGGGTGTACATATCATGTGGGTGGGTGTACTTGTCATGTGAGTGGGTGTAGTCATGTGGGTGGGTGTACCTCTCATGTACGTAGCTACTTATCATGTGGATACTCACTTTATTTTTACCAATATCATTGGCTTGAAGGCTAGAGAGAATCTGTTGTTCTATTGCGTCCACCCAACCATCGCGGTCCTGTAAAACAGTAACTTTAATTTCAACATATCTATATGCAAATATACATCTACCTTATCGCATACATATATATATAAATACACATACACACAAACAAGCATACATCACCCAATAATGTTGATAATGCTGATATCAATTTGAACAAACCCGTAACACACACACACACACACGCATGCATACGCGCGCACGCACGCGCGCACACACACACGCGCGCGCGCGCCCGTCCTAAGTTCTGTAAATTTTCATTTTGAACATAACTTTCCACTTTGAGCCTGAAAGTGCCAATATTTGTTCTCTAGTGCAGCAATCACATACTTCTCCACTCAAAGTGCCACTGTTCTCTAGTAAAACAATAACGCACTTTTCCACTCTCAGTTTCAAAGTGCCACTGTTTGTCTCTAGAGATACAATCATACACTTCTCTATTCTGAGCCTCAAAAAGCCACTGTTCTCTAGTCAAACAATCAAGCCACTGTTCTCTAGTCAAACAATCAGGTACTTCTCCACTCTCAGCCTCAAAGTGGCACTGTTTGTTCTCTAGCAAAACAATCATATACTTCTCCACTCTGAGCCTCAAAGTGCCACTGTTTGTTCTCTAGTGAAACAATCATATACTTCTCCACTCTCAGCCTCATAATGCCACTGTTTGATCTCTAGTGTAACAATCAAAAACATATCTCCACTCTGAGCCTCAAAGTGTCACTGTTTGATCTCTAGTGAAACAATCACAAACTTCTCCACTATGGACCTCAAAGTGCCACTGTTTGATCTCTAGTGAAACAATCACAAACTTACCTCTCCACTCTGAGCCTCGAAGTGCCACTGTTTATTTTCAAGTGAAACAATCAAAAACTCATATCCATCAGAATCTGTAGAGACAAAAGGTGTCTATAATTTTATCTTCAACATTAATACCACAAACATATACTTATCTTAGTGTTTCTCCCAATCATTTATATTATCACCCTAATCACACACAGTTTATGCAATAATTTCCCCCACTCATAAAATTATCCTTATCATTCTCCCAATCACAGATGATAATACAAATCATTATACCTATCATACATCACTTCTCCAAACCATGCTTAAATATTTCAATTATTCTCTACAATACATTTCATGTGTAAAGCATCACAGAGCTCTGCTTCCATCACAGAGCACTGCTTCCATCACAGAGCACTGCTTCCATCACAGAGCACTGCTTCCATAACAGAGCAGTGCTTCCATCACAGAGCAGTGCTCTCATCACACAGCACTGCTTCCATCACAGAGCACTGCTTTCATCACAGATCACTGCTTCCATCATAGAGCAGTGCTCTCATCACACAGCACTGCTTCCATCACAGAGCACTGCTTCCATCACAGAGCACTGCTTCCATCACACAGCACTGCTTCCATCACAGAGCACTGCTTCCAACACACAGCACTGCTTCCATCACACAGCACTGCTTCCATCACAGAGCACTGCTTCCATCACAGAGCACTACTTCCATCACAGAGCACTGCTTCCATCACAGCGCACTACTTCCATCACAGAGCACTGCTTCCATCACAGAGCAGTGCTCTTATCACACAGCATTAGAACAACTCTCCATTCTACACGTTTTCTATAGGTGTCCATGCCCAGGAAATTAACTGACTTGGTCAGTTCTTGCCTCATCTCCCAGACACCAAACCTTCTCGTTGAACCACTTCAGCAGATATATTACATACAGTTTATGGGACAGTTCCCACTTCAGCAGATATGATACAGTTTATGGGACAGTTCCCACTTCAGCAGATATGATACAGTTTATGGGACAGTTCCCACTTCAGCAGATATGATACAGTATATGGGACAGTTCCCACTTCAGCAGATATGATAGTTTATGGGACAGTTCCCACTTCAGCAGATATGATACAGTTTATGGGACAGTTCCCACTTCAGCAGATATGATACAGTTAATTGGACAGTTCCCACTTCAGCAGATATGATACAGTTTATGGGACAGTTCCCACTTCAGCAGATATGATACAGTTTATGGGACAGTTCCCACTTCAGCAGATATGATACAGTTTATAGAACAGTTCCCATTTCAGCAGATATGATAGTTTACAGTTCCTACTTCAGCAGATATGATACAGTTTATGGGACAGTTCCCACTTCAGCAGATATGATACAGTTTATGGGACAGTTCCCACTTCAGCAGATATAATACAGTTTATGGGACAGTTCCCACTTCAGTAGATATAATACTGTTTATGGGACAGTTCCCACTTTAGCAGATATGATACAGTTAATGGGAGGGTTCCCACTTTAGCAGATTTGATACTGTTTATGGGACAGTTCCCACTTCAGCAGATATGATACAGTTAATGGGAGGGTTCCCACTTCAGCAGATATGATACTGTTTATGGGACAGTTCCCACTTCAGCAGATATGATACCATTAATGGGAGGGTTCCCACTTTAGCAAATGTGATACTTTATGCAATATTTCCCACAGTTCCCACTTCAGCATATATGATACTTTTTATGGGACAGTTGCTAAGCTATGATATTGTTTATGGGACATTTCTCCAGATAAGTCACTGTTTATGGAATAGTACCTTAAATATGATGCTCTTTATTGAACTATTCCCCACATATGATACTGCTTATGCATAGTTCCTTAGATATGTTGCTATTTATGGAAGTTCCCCAGATATGATACTGTTTAAAGAACAGTTCCCCAGATATGATACTGTTTAAAGAAGTTCCCCAGATATAATATGTTTATGGGATATTTTCCCAGAAATGACACTGTTTATGGGAAATTTTCCCAGATATGACATTGTTATACACCATGTTGTTTATTAAACAGCTCTTTAGATATACTTTTATATGATAGTTATCACTTCAGCAAATATGACACTGTTTACGCGATAGTTATAGTCTTCAGCAGATATGACTGTTTACAGAACTGTTTCTTTGAAAAAATACGGTACATGGAACAGTTTCTTTGATATTATAATGTATATGGAACAGGCCCTTAAAGCTGACACTGTTTATGGGACAGTTTCCACTTCCACATAGCTGACACTGTTTATGGGACAGTTTCTACTTCTGCAGAGCTGACAGTGTTTATGGGACAGTTTCCACTTTCGCAGAGCTGACACTGTTTATGGGACAGTTTCCACTTTCACAGAGCTGACACTGTTTATGGGACAGTTTCCACTTCCACAGAGCTGACACTGTTTATGGGACAGTTTCCACTTCCACAGAGCTGACACTGTTTATGGGACAGTTTCCACTTCCGCAGAGCTGACACTGTTTATGGGACAGTTTCCACTTCCACAGAGCTGACACTGTTTATGGGACAGTTTCCACTTCCACATAGCTGACACTGTTTATGGGACAGTTTCCACTTCCGCAGAGCTGACACTGTTTTTGGGACAGTTTTCACATCCTCATAGCTGACACTGTTTATGGGACAGTTTCCACTCTTCTACAGAGCTGACACTGTTTATGGGACAGTTTTCACTTCCTCAGAGCTGACATGATTTATGGAACAGATCGTTAGTTATGATACTGTTATATAGCCCCCCCCCCCCCCCCCCCCAATTTCCAACACTACACTATCTTAAAAAGTGGTAAGTGTGGGTCATCAAGTCTGTTGATGGGATACTGCAGTAATATCCTAGATGGAGCTCCGAAAATGGGATACTGCACTAACATCATGGTTGAAGCTCAGAAAATGGGATACTGCACTAACATCATGGCTGAAGCTCAGAAAATGGGATACTGCACTAACATCATGGATGAAGCTCAGAAAATGGGATACTGCACTAACATCATGGTTGAAGGTCAGACAATGGGATACTGCACTAATATCATGGTTGAAGCTCAGAAAATGGGATACTGCACTAACATCATGGTTGAAGCTCAGAAAATGGGATACTGCACTAATATCATGGTTGAAGCTCAGAAAATGGGATACTGCACTAATATCATGGTTGAAGCTCAGAAAATGGGATACTGCACTAATATCATGGTTGAAGCTCAGAAAATGGGATACTGCACTAACGTCCCAGATAAAATCAGAAAATTGAATACTGCACTAATAACTTAGATAAATCTCAGAAAATGGTATACTGCACTAAAATCCTAAATAAAGCTCAGAAAATGGCAAATTGCACTAATATTGTGGTTGAAGCTCAGAAAATTTGATACTGCACCAATGTTCTAGATAAACTCAGAAAATGGAATACTGCACTAATATCTTAGATAAATCTGAGAAAATTGGATACTGCACTAATATCTTAGATAAATCTCAAAAAATGGGATACTGCACTAATATCTTAGATAAATCTAAGAAAATGGGATACTGCAATAATATCCTAGATAGAACTAATAAAAGACAGCGCAACCCACCGTCACCATCTCCAGGATTGGAGTTTTTGATTGCCCCACTTTTGGCTCGCCGATGTCTCTTCTTGATATTCGGTGTGTCTCGACTGGAACTATTAATACCCAGTTTGGGCAACAGAGGTGATCGCTCAGGACGTGCGGGAGGTTGGTCTGCAATCACTGGAGAAAACACAGGACTAGTCAGACAATATGGCTGGTTAATGCTGCATTCATGTGTAGTCAACCACAAACTCACAGCCAATACTGTTACAGGTAACAGCAATGATGACATCAAGACTCAGGGCTGGTCAACTACCACAGTACTCCCAGCCAGCAGCAGAGCTCTCTATCTAAGCTAGCAGCTCTTCTTCCATTGTAAGCAATTTTTTTCATGATACAAGGGGCCTTCAATATGCAAATATGTCATAAATCATGGCAGCTATCTTGAATTTGTTTGACTATTTATAGAAATTTCAGTAGATGTTTTAAAACCGCCATCTTTTATCCAGTTGTAGTGAATCTGTTCAATGTCTGTGCAAAAAAATGTTGGGGACATGGTTGGCGATGAATAAAATAAGCTCAGTAGGAGCATTTATTTGATGACTGACCAAGTATATCACATAAAGAGCTAACAAAAATTTTAATAAAGGGAGAATAAAAAACTTTACTTCTTTAGTGTTTTTTCTTGTGTTTATGTGGCATGTTACAATGAGTCTTTGCAAATGCTTAATTATAAAAGAACATCTAGTTGAAGTCTGAGCTACTTCCTTTATTACCTGGAGCTGGAGTTGTAGCTGTAGAGCTCTGCAAGAGTCTTTGTCGGGAATGTTGATAATCCTCAACTGTGTGGGATAGCTTGAAATAGGGTGTCAAGCACAGAGGGGTATTCTGGACAGTATTACTGGACAGTATACACAAGTATTGCTTACTTGACCTGCAGCCTTACACATTTTAGTCTGGTTTGTACCTTGGCGTTTCATATTTGTCAATAAAATGGAGCTCAGTAAGTCGTGAAGTTGTGATTTGTAGTCTTGAAAGTATTACACTGTGCCGAGGAACAGCACGTCCGATAAAAGCAAGACATCCTGACCGAACCCGTCTGCAGTGATCTTTTTTGTAGAGTTGGCAGTGTTGTAGCTTACATGCCCATTGACCAGAGCAGTTTCAACTAAAAAAATGATATAACAGCAGGTACCAATTGTAGGATCTATGTGGGTTGGGGTAGCTTGCACCAAGTTGGCCGAAGTAATTGACACCCCCGTACTTTTGTTGTGTATTTTTCTGCAAGAACTGTCTTATTATTCTACCCTCAAAAACTCCCCTTTTCCTGTCTTGTTGATAACATCATTGAAGTCAACAGTAGATATTAAGTTAAGTCTCTTAGTGTCATGCCAGGTAACAGCCAACATGCCTTTATTTTCTATCACACAAAAACAATGCAGGATTATCTGCCTTTTTGAGTTTCAGCTGCTTTTTTCTTCAACATATCAGGAAAATGCTTCCTTCTTCCACATACACCAATCTGCATTTTTTTTTTTTCAGCTCTTGAAATAAAGCTGGACATGAATAAAAGCTGTCATAGTAAAGAAAATGTCCTTTGTAACCATATCCAACAAGATGTTTCACAAAGTGGAAGTTGTCCAGACACAACCTTCATTATTTGCCTTATTAGTGTAAATCTCCAGTTTCAGGCAGTACTGGGTTTTAGCACCATAAATCCAAATAATCTGAATCCCCACTTTGTCAGCTCTTCTGGCAGGTACTGATAATCCAGGCTAATCATCACATCTGGTCACCAAGGTATGTGACTGGACATTCGCTGAGCGTCCAATTTGGTCAGCTAAATGTTAAAGATGCGCTGAGAAGTGGAAAGCTACACTGATCGCAAAAGGGTGCAATTTTTTAATAACAGCAAGCGCCTAAAGTTACGACTGCAGGGGTGCAATTTAAGTAGCCAGGTGTAACTGTCGCCCAATCACATAATGTTGTAGTCAGTGGGTTAGTAGAATAATACTGTTTTTTTTTTTGGGGGGGGGGGGGGGGGGGTGGTGTGTGTGTGTGTAAATGATCGAAATGTACAAAAAACATTATTATTTCTTTCGACAGGCCCCCCTTTAAAAATCAGCTTCAACGTTTCCATATGTGTTTTGTTACATCATATGTCAGCTATCATTTCCTTATATGTGATCCGTCCGTCATTTGCTCACTGTATATGACTGTCACTTCCCCACATCATGTGATGCACCATTTTCTTGAGTGATTTTGTGCTTCTTGTGGTCCATCACTTCATCATCCTAAGTTGCCGATGACATCACATGTACACAAGACAAGAAAAAAACAAATGACAGACACAGACAGATAGACAGACAGACACAGACACAGAGACAAACAGACCTGAGGTTACTGAAGAGTTCTGTATCACCAGAGAATTGTCTGTCTGTCCATCGACTGTTAAATCGTGCGCTGCAGAAAACAACACAGAGTCATCATCATCATGTAGCAAGTCTGGTACACACAAAGTGGCTCTCATCACCCACTGTCAGACTCAATTCTCCATTCTGGTCAACCTGCCTCTTGCTCAAGGAACCAAGCCTTCTACAGGCACAATTTCTGAATCAGTCTGCCCTTCAACACAGCTGTAGTATTTCAGTCTGCGGGACATGATGGTATTTCAGAGCTAGTTGTCCAGGTTCACATTCATATTTTTCTTCACTGAAAAGGTAAGAATTTTTCTTAACACCAAAGTGCTGATATCCTAAATCCAGTCAACATACGTACAAGTCTGTGAGCTAAGATAGCAGAGAAAAATGTGACATATGGCCCTGAGTCCAGTCCACACATAAGTCTGTGAGCTGAGATAGCAGAGAAATGTTATATATGGCCCTGAGTTTAGTTAATATAGGTACAAGTATGTGAGCTAAGATAGCAAAGAAATAGGTTTTATATGGCATTAATAGTCCAGTTAATATATCTACAGACCTGTTGGAGATGACTGCTTGCTTCAACCAGAGCATTAGGACAGCTTCAGTGCCAGAAGAGTGGATGCACAGCTAACCGATTCCACTTCCTAAGCCTGGCGAGAATCATTCAACACTCGACAGCTTTAGGATCATAACCCTACAAAACACCTTTGGTAAAGTGATGGGGAAGATTGGGAAGTTACCAGCTGGGGAAGGACACATGGTCAAATAAAGCCACTTGCCTCTGATACCTTCGAAGGTTTCCAGAACAGATGAGAAATGGTGGCAGCGGCATTCGATTCAGAAGACGCTTACAACAGAGTCAGATACAGTATCTTGATGAAAGTACTTTTGGAGAAGGGAGTCTGGGAATCACCTTTGACAGAAGTTTGTCTTTCAGGGATCAGATGGAGGGGGTTGAGACAAGGGCTCAAAAAAGGTCTAAATGCACCAAAGTTTAAGGTAGCGATGGACATGGAGCAGAGAATGCTGTTCACACTTTACCAGCACTTAATCATCTCAGTGATTGATTTTGGATCAGGGTTACTCACTGTCTCGAAGAGTCAGCTAGAGAAACTGGAGCGCATACAGAATGAAGCTATGCGGCTGATCCTGAGTTGTACAAGAGACACCCCAATTGTGTGCAACCGATACATCCTTGCATTGCCGACTACTGCAGACAGGACAAAGGTGCTGCAGGCTAAGTCATACCTCAGAGTACCTGCAGACAGGGAACACTCTGTATGAAGCTTTGGCTGCAGGCAAGGATCAGAGGCTGAAAAGGGGGAAATCGTGGATGGCTCAAGCGGAAGACACAATAAGACAAGTATGCTTGCTGGAGAACATTGGGCGAGGAGAGGAGTGGGTCAGAGTACCAGAGGAAAAGTCTGACCTGTGTAGGGTTATGATCACATTTGGCTAGTTGCGCAGAGAGTGGCCAGCGGGTGCTACGGAGGGGGAAGTCCAACAGTTGATTCACGAGTATTCAGGCCCAGGTGATCTGATTATCTACACAGATGTTTCAGTGTTCAGAGGAAAAAGAAATTCCTGGTGGTTCATAGCGAAAGCCAATAGAAAATCTTTAGTGCAAGACAGCCTAACATATTGCACCACAACTTCTAGCATGAGAATGGAGGTGGAGGCGGTATCTGCAGCTCTCCAGTGGCTAGAGAACAAGATGCATACACATGTAATTCTAACAGACTCTCAAAGCATGCTGAAAAAGGTGAAGACAGGGATGCTTCGAGCAGAGTGGCAAACTTCACTGGAAATGTCACAGAAAGTGAGCATACTTTGGATATTTTCTCCAGGCTATGCCGGTGTGGTGGGTAATGAACAGACAGACAGATTGGCTAGATTCCCACCACTGGGTGGTGAATTGATGCATGACAAGGCAGATGTGGTCAAGGCCCTTTGGGAACAAGCAACGGAATCAGTAGAGAAAGAAGATTATTATGGCCTGGAGAGAATTGAGACACCTGGGTGCTGTGATGTCAATTATTGACTCAACTCAACTTAATATGACACGGATGACCAACCATATGACATGGGTGACGAAACACATGACAAGTATGGATATTTAGATGAAATGGGCGAACATACACATGACATGGGTGAACAATTACATGACATGGGTGAACACACACATGATGTGGGTGAACAATCACGCTACATAAAGAAAAACACACAAGACATGTGTGAACATACAGACATCATGACAATACAATACACAACAATACCTATAGAATTATTCATGTCCCCATTTTGAGTGTTTCCAATAGACACTGTCCTAGACCCCCGAGGTCGCATGCCAGGTATTTTCACTGTTGTTTTCACAAGTGGGATTTCTTTGGCATGTGTGTCCTCCATGTAATCCTGCAATATGGAAGACAACTTGACAATAGGTGATCAAACTTGACAATATAGAAGATAAATTGACAATATGTGACAAAACTTGACAATGTGGAAGACAACTTGACAATATGTGACAAAACTTGAAAATATGGGAGATTGGATTGTGTGACAGTACAGAAAGTAGAGTAAAGATCCCTTTTCATGCCTTCCGGTACATGGGAAGATCGCCCATATTTTTTCAGACCATCGGCACTAGGTGGGTAATGTGGTCAGCATTACGCCATTACACAATATCAGAGACAGCACAACAATATAAGAGATGGTACAACAATATGAAAGACAGTACAACAATATGAGGAAGATGGTACAACAATATAAGAGACGGTACAACAATATGAGGGAGATAATAAAACAATATGAGAGATGGTACAACAATATGAGGGAGATAAAACAATATGAGTGATGGTACAACAATATGAGAGACAGTACAACAAAATGAGAGACGGTACAATAATATGAGGGAGACAGCACAATAATATGACAGAGACAGTTGATGGAGACAGTACAATAATATGACAGAGACAATAAAACAATATGACAGAGACAGTACAACAATATGACAGAGACAGTACAATAATATGACAGAGACAGTACAACAATAATATGAGAGATAAGAAAACAACTGAGAGAGGAACGGTGCAATAACATGCAGAGAGAGACAGTAAAACAAATGAGAAAGACTGTAAAACAGTATGAAAGAGACCCTACAACAATATAAGAGAGATAATGCCACAATATGATAACAACATGGAGAGACAGATAAATGGAACCAATTGAGAGAGATAGTACAATAATATGAGGAGAAGAGAAGAGAGATACAAGCTGGTGATATTAGAGACCCCTCCCCAACATGAAGTGAACAGAACCATGTGTGTTGGCCTAGGCCAGGCTATGAGGACAGCACAACTTACATGGATGTTTGAATGATACACTAATCTGCCATCATCAATCAAAGCCACATATTTCTTCTTCCACTCTTTATTAAGTCCATGACTCTTCTTGTACAGCCAGCCCTAGCGATGGAGAAATATGGGTTGTCAAATATGGAATGATAAAGATGGGCTTTTAAACATGGGCTGTCAAATATTGGCTGTCAAACATCGGTTTTAAAACATAGGCTGTCAAATCTGGGCTGTCAAATGCAGGCTATTAAACTTGTGTTGTCAAACATGGGCTGTCCAGAATAAGCAGTCAAATAAGAGTTGCCAGATATGGGCTAGTAAATATCAGTTGTCAGATATGAGCTGCTGGATATGGACTGTCAAATTTAGGTTGTCAAATAAGGGGTGTCAAACATGGGCTTTTAAACATTTGCTGTCAAGCAAGGACGGGGCTGCGTGGTCTAAAAGCATGATGTCCGCCTCTGTAAGAGCTGGGATTTTTTCACCTGGACTTGAGACTTCTAGTAATTCCCAGCTGGTCTCTGGGTAGGGAGACCAGACGCCTGTGTGCATGGCTGCGAACGTTTAAAAAAATCCTTTGTTAGTTGGAAATCGAAAAGAGTAGCCTAACAGCGCTGCCGGGGCAAAATTTGGAGTTAAAAATCGACCTAAAGTATTTCAGGATCCTCGCTACAGGGTGCTACAGGGCCTGTGCACTGTGCTAAGCTTCTTCGGACTCGGACTTGAATTAGAGGAAGAACAGAGCATTTATGGGTTACTATTCATGTGCCATGATGTTGATCCATTCTTTAAATCTCAAACCTGTCAAGCAAGGGTTGTCAAATATGGGTTGTCAAATGTAGGTTGTCAAACATGAGTCTTCACAAATGTGCTGCCAAACATAGGTTGTCGTACAAGCAGTAATAAGCAAGGGCTGACGAACGCTGGTTGTTGAACATGTCCACATGTGTTGTCAAACGGGTTATCTACAGGGGTTGTTAAACATGGGTTGTCTATTTGGGTTGTCAAAAATTGTTTGTCATACATGCAGTAGTAAGCAAGGGTTGTCAAACATGGGATGTTAAACAAGGGTTGTTGTCTATATGGGTTATCAAAAATGGTTTGTCATACATGCATAAGTAAGTAAGGGTTGTCAAACATGGGTCGTTTATATGGGTTGTCTACATGGGTTGTTAAACTTGTGTTGTCAATCATGGGTTGTTAAACATGGGCTGTCATAAATGGGATGTCAAACATGGGTTGTTAAACAAAGATTGCCTACACGGATTGTCAAACATGGGTAGTCAAAAAAAGGTTGTCTATACAGATTGTCAAACATGGGTAGTCAAACATAGGTTGTCTACACGGATTGTCAAACATGGGTAGTCAAACATAGGTTGTCTACACGGATTGTCAAACATGGGTAGTCAAACATAGGTTGTCTACACGGATTATCAAACATGGGTTGTCAAACTGACTAATAAAGTAGGCAACTGGCACACCTGTTTGAGAGGAATGGTACGTCCACTGCCCATCTTGTCGCCATCTGTCAGCAGTCTCTTGTCTTCTTCTTTGGATTTTGGCTGCAACAAAACATCTCATAAATGTGGTGAAAGGTGTCAAGTTAGAGAAAAAACACAGGGATTTGACATGTGCACATGAAGTTGAGATGCAGACATAGAGTCAAGATGTAGATAGGCAGTAGAGATGTAGACGGGGCGTCAAGATGTAGATGCGGGTAGAGGTGTAAACATGGAGTTCGGTCATAGATAGGGAGTTGAGATGTAGACAGGGAGCTAAGATGTAGACAGAGGTAGAGATGTAGACAGGTAGTAGAGATGTAGACAGGGAGTGCAGATGCAAACAGGGAGTCAAGATGCGACATGGATTTGCGATGTAGACAGGGAGTCAAGACTCAGACAGGGAGTCGAGATGTAGATAGTGAGTACAGATGTAGATAGTAAACAGAGATGTAGACAGAGAGTAGAGGTATAGACAGGAAGTAGAGATTAGACAAGGGGTAGAGATGTAGATAGGGAGTCAATGTGTAACAGGTGGTTGAGATAGAGACAGGGAGTCAAGATGTAGACAGGGACATAGATGGGGGTAGAGGTGCAGACAGGGAGTAGAGATGCAGACAGGGGGGTAGAGATGCAGATAGGAAGTAGACAAGTAGGTGATGACAACACAAAAAAGTCAGAAGAGAGATATGTGAAGATCAACAGAAAGACACACTGACCAATACATACACACATACATACACACTATCATCTCTCTTTGACTGTTTACTTTCCACGCTGTAATAATGTATGCCCGATCCCATGTGACAACACAACAAAGTCAGGAGAGATACGTAAGGTTCAACAGGAAGACACACTGAGTAATATATACACACATACATTCACACTATTATCTCTCTCTGTTTATTTTACACGATGTAATAATGTATGCCTAATCCCGTGTGCATGTAATGAATATTTGTTATTACTGTTTTCAAAGAACCTAACAGGGCTTGTTACCACACCCTGTCCTTTCCCTAGTCAACCCATTGAGCTCCTCACCCAAGGTTTCTCTGGCCAGGCACCAGAAAACAATCATCTGTCGCTGGCACAAGAAAACAAACCATATGTCACTGACAAACAGTTCCTAAAATCATCAACAGCATTGTGACAGACCTTGAAGCCAATTCCAGTACAAAACATGACTCCATTCAATGCAAACATGGAACGGAAAACCTGTGCCGATCACCTGACCACTACAGGCCCACTTTACACTTGTACATTTTTACTGACTAAATATGTATCACATGGCTAACAACAACACTGTTCACAGCTGCAGATTTCACTAGCCAAGAATACCTGCAGGTTTCACTAGCCAAGAATACCTGCAGGTTTCACTAGCCAAGAATACCTGCAGGTTTCACTAGCCAAGAATACCTGCAGGTTTCACTAGCCAAGAATACCTGCAGGTTTCACTAGCCAAGAATACCTGCAGGTTTCACTAGCCAAGAATACCTGCAGGTTTCACTAGCCAAGAATACCTGCAGGTTTCACTAGCCAAGAATACCTGCAGGTTTCACTAGCCAAGAATACCTGCAGGTTTCACAGGACACAGGACCTGTAACTGACACAAGACACAATAGCTGCAGAAGTGATGGAGATGTGACCAAAGATAAGAGGGAGATTTGGGCAAAGATGAGAGGGAGATGTAAGCAAAGATGGGAGGGAGATGTGAGCAAAGATGGGAGGAAGATGTGAGCAAAGATGAGAGGGAGATGTGAGCAAAGATGAGAGGGAGATGTGAGCAAAGATGAGAGGGAGATGTGAGCAAAGATGAGAGGGTGATGTTAGCCTAGATGAGAGGGAGGTGTGAGCAAAGATGAAAGGGAGATGCAAGCAAAGATGAGAGGGAGATGTTAGCACAGGTGAAAGGGAGATGTGAGCAAAGATGAGAGGGAGATGTGAGCAAAGATGAGAGGGAGATGTGAGCACAGGTGAGAGGGAGATGTGAGCACAGGTGAGAGGGAGATGTGAGCAAAGATGAGAGAGAGATGTGAGCAAAGATGAGAGGGAGATGTGAGCAAAGATGAGAGGGAGATGTGAGCACAGGTGAGAGGGAGATGTGAGCATAGATGAGAGGGAGATGTGAGCACAGGTGAGAAGGAAATGTGAGCAAAGATGAGAGGGAGATGTGAGCAAAAATGAGAGGGAGATGTGAGCACAGGTGAGAGGGAGATGTGAGCAAAGATGAGAGGGAGATGTGAGCTAAGATTAGAGGGAGATGTGAGCACAGATTACAGATTAGTTGGAGATGTGAGTAAAGACGAGAGGGAGATGTGAGCACGGGTGAGAGGGAGATGTGAGCAAAGATGAGAGGGAGATGTGAGCAAAGATGAGAGGGAGATGTGAGCAAAGATGAGAGGGAGATGTGAGCAAAGATGAGAGGGAGATGTGATCACAAATGTGATAGAGATGTGAGCAAAGATGAGAGGGAGATGTGAGCACAGATGACATAGAGATGTAAGCACAGATAAGAGGGAGATGTGAGTACAGATGAGAGGGAGATGTGAGCACAGATGAGAGGGAGATGTGAGCACAGATAAGAGGGAGATGTCAGCACAGGTGAGAAATAGATGTGAGCACAGATGAAAGGGAGATGTCAGCACAGATGAGAGGGAGATTGAGCACAGATGAAAGGGAGATGTGAGCACAGATGTGATAGAGATGAGAGCACAGGTGAGAGGGAGATGTGAGCAAAGATTAGAGGGAGATGTGAGCACAGATTACAGATTAGTTGGAGATGTGAGTAAAGATGAGAGGGAGATGTGAGTAAAGATGAGAGGGGGATGTGAGCAAAGATGAGAGGGTGATGTGAGCAAAGATGAGAGGGAGATGTGAGCACAGATGAGAGGGAGATGTGAGCACAGATGAGAGGGAGATGTGTGCAAAGATGAGAGGGAGATGTGAGCATAGGTGAGAGGGAGATGTGAGCAAAGATGAGAGGGAGATGTGATCACAAATGTGATAGAGATGTGAGCATATGTGAGAGGGAGATGTGAGCAAAGATGAGAGGGAGATGTGAGCAAAGACAAGAGAAAGATGTGAGCAAAGATGAGAGGGAGATGTGAGCAAAGATGAGAGGGAGATGTGAGCATAGGTGAGAGGGAGATGTGAGCAAAGATGAGAGAGAGATGTGATCACAAATGTGATAGAGATGTGAGCAAAGATGAGAGGGAGATGTGAGCACAGATTACAGATTAGAGGGAGATGTGAGTAAAGATGAGAGGGAGATGTGAGCACAGGTGAGAGGGAGATGTGAGCAAAGACAAGAGGGAGATGTGAGCAAAGATGAGAGGGAGATGTGAGCATAGGTGAGAGGGAGATGTGAGCACAGATGAAAGGGAGATGTGAGCACAGATATGATAGAGATGTGAGCACAGGTGAGAGGGAGATGTGAGCAAAGATTTGAGGGAGATGTGAGCACAGATTACAGATTAGAGGGAGATGTGAGTAAAGATGAGAGGAAGATGTGAGCACAGGTGAGAGGGAGATGTGAGCAAAGATGAGAGGGAGATGTGAGCAAAGACAAGAGGGAGATGTGAGCAAAGATGAGAGGGAGATGTGAGCAAAGATGAGAGGGAGATGTGAGCATAGGTGAGAGGGAGATGTGAGCAAAGATGAGAGGGAGATGTGATCACAAATGTGATAGAGATGTGAGCAAAGATGAGAGGGAGATGTGAGCACGGATGAAATGGAGATGTGAGCACAGATGAGAGAAAGATGTGAGCACAGATGAGAGGGAGATGTGAGCACAGATGAGAGGGAGATGTGAGCACAGATGAGAGGGAGATGTGAGCACAGATGAGAGGGAGATGTCAGCAATGATGAGAGGGAGATGTGAGCACAGATGAAAGGGAGATGTCAGCACAGATGAGAGGGAGATGTGAGCACAGATGAAAGGGAGATGTGTGCACAGGTGAGAGGGAGATGTAAGCAAAGATGAGAGTGAGATGTGAGCACAGATGAGAGGGAGATGTGAGCACATGTGAGAGGGAGATGTGAGCACAGATGAGAGGGAGATGTGAGCATAGAGAGATAGATGTGAGCACAGATGAGATGGAGATGTTAACACATATGAGATGGAGATGTGAGCACAGATGAGAAAAAAATGTGAGCACAAATGCAGAACTGTTGAGCCATTTGTCTAACAGTGGTCAGGTTAGCACCAGCTTGGGAAGCTATAACATTAACTCCCATTGGCGAAAGTGAAACAGTCATCTAAACTACACCACATCTATTAACACTAGACAGGTCAGGAATGTCCACAATGATACCAAACAGATGCAAAGAATGCCAGTCAGCCAGCTGGAGCTGGCTCACCAGATCAGGCTGACAGGGAGAACTGTGAACAGGTAACAGCTGAGTGACCTGCAGCTATGCTCAAGCCAGCAGCACATGTTTACCAACAGGGGCAGCCAGCAACCAGCACACATCTACACACTGCTCACAAAATCAATCTCCATAAGCAAACTGTGTATCAGGTGAGAGTAGCAGCTGCACGACACACAAATACTGGACACACTGGTCTGAGAGGTGGCTTACAGGGATGGCCAGTGGCTGATGGGAATAGAGAAGTGACACATGGGGGCAGTATGTGACAGATGGGAACAGTCAGTGATAGAAGTGTGACAGCAAGTCAAAACAGGGGATATTCAGTGACAGATGGGTGACCGCCAGTGACAGAAGTGAACAGTCACTGACAAGTGGTGCCAGTCAGTGATGAGAGTGGACAGTCAATAACAAAAGAAGACAACCGGTGACAGATGGAAACAGTCAATGACAGATAGGTGACAGTGACAGATGGGTGACAGTCAGTGACGGATGGGTGACTGCCAATGACAGAAGTTAACAGTCAGTGACAGTCCATGACAGCTGGGAGACAGCCAGTAAAAGATGGATAACAGCTGGGAGACAGCCAGTGACAGATGGGTGACAGCTGATGAAAGATGTGTGACAGATCCATGACAGCCAGTGACAGATGGGAAATCGCCAGTGACAGATGGGTGACAGCTGATGAAAGATGTGAGACAGATCAGTGACAGTCAGTGACAGATGGGTGATGGCTAGTGACAGACGGGAACAGCCAGGGACAGATGGGTGACAGCCAGTAATGGAAATGAACATCTATGACTGACTGTAGAATTTGGTTACAGATAGAATTAAACCAGACAACATAAACATACCAGAATTTGATGTAACAACAAAACTCAAGTTTATCAAACAAATATTTTAGACTATGTAACAAATAACTCAGACAGGATGTAATAAATAAACCCATATGAAGTAACAAAAAAACTAGATATAATGTAACAAATAAACCAGACATAATGTAACCAATAAACCAGACAGGATGTAACAAATTAACCAGACATGATGTTTAAAATAAATCAGACAGAATGTCACAAATAATTCAGATATAGTGTGACAAATAAAGCAGACAGGATGTAACAAATAAACCACACATTATATAACAAATAAAGCAGACAGGATGTAACAAAGATATAAAAAAACACAATTTAACAAATAAACCAGACATGGTGTGATAAATAAAGCAGACCGGATGTAACAAATAAACTAGACACAATGTCACCACACACACAAAAAACAGACATGATATAAACAAATATACCTTACAGGGTGTAACAAATAAACAAGATATTGTGTAACAAAAAATAAACCAGACAGGATGAAACAAACAAACCAGACAAGATGCAACAACAACAAAAATCAGACATAATTTAACAAATAAACCAGACAGGATGTAAAAATAAAACTGACATGATAAAACAAATATACCTTACAGGGTGTAACAACTAAACCAGACTTGATGTGACAACAACAAAAAACCAGAAATAATTTAACAAATAAACCAGACAGGATGTAACAAATAAACCAGACATGAAGCAACAAATAAACCAGACATGATGTAACAATAAACCAGACATGATGTAACAAATCAACCAGACATGATGTAACAAATAAACCAGACATGAAGCAACAAATAAACCAGACATGATGTAACAATAAACCAAACATGATGTAACAAATAAACCAGACATGATGTAACAAATAAACCAGACATGATGTAACAAATAAACCAGACATGATGTTAAAGATCAACCAGACATGATGTTAAAAATCAACCAGACAGGATGTTGAAAAAAAAGACAGGGTGTAACAAATAAACCAGACACTGTGTAACAAATAAACCAGTTATGCTGTTAAAAATAAACGAGTCATGGTGTTACAAGTAAACCAGATATGGTGTAACAAATAAACAAGATATTGCATAACAAATAAACAAGATATTGCATAACAAATAAACTAGACATGTGTAACAAGTAAATCAGACAGGGTGTAACAAATAAGCTGGATATAATGTTACAAAGAAACCAGACATGGTGTAACAAATAAAACAGAAAAAATAGACATGGTGTAATTTTAAAAAACAGACACGGTGTATCAAATAAATAATACAGGTGTATCCACACACAAAAGCCACACAAACTAGTCTTACATTAAACAGGTTCGACCTTCGTCTGTTTTTTCTGTTCTGTGTGGGTGTGGTACCAGGTGTAGGTAAGTCTTTGGCTTCCACCGGCTTGTCCTGCAAGTGGAGAAGATGTTGACAGAGTGTGAGTCAGTTCTCACTGACAGTATAAGAATGGCAGGTCAATTAGGTTCAGGGCTAGCGGCGACACCACAATCTAGCAGAAATCATTCACACTGTTGTTAGTAATGCTGACTTCAAGGGTTTCTTTCACAAAAGTAATTGCATCTGAAAGACTGAATGACACACAGGATGATAGAACAACCATATGATTTGCTCATATCTTCATGTACTTCCATCACTAGTGTGCAACAACCTCTCACCTTTTGTTTCCTGTACAGCAGATAGCACCTTATTTTGTAATCACTCATACACACAACAAGTGATAACTTCAGTTTCCATACAAGACAGCTCATTGTTTTGTAATCACTGATAAATATAAGAAGTGATTACTTCAGTTTCCATACAAGACAGCTCATTGTTTTGTAATCACTCATAAATATAAGAAGTGATTACTTCAGTTTCCATACAAGACAGCTCATTGTTTTGTAATCACTGATAAATATTCAGTTTCCATACAAGACAGCTCATTGTTTTGTAATCACTGATACACACAACAAGTGATAACTTCAGTTTCCATACAAGACAGCTCATTGTTTTGTAATCACTGATATACACAACAAGTGATAACTTCAGTTTCCATACAAGACAGCTCATTGTTTTGTAATCACTGATAAATATAAGAAGTGATTACTTCAGTTTCCATACAAGACAGCTCATTGTTTTGTAATCACTGATAAATATAACAAGTGATTACTTCAGTTTCCATACAAGACAGCTCATTGTTTTGTAATCACTGATACACACAACAAGTGATAACTTGTATGGTTTTATTTTGTTCTCAGCAACAGTATGCTTTAATGTTGTCAGCAATTGTATGGTTTAATGTTGAGTTCTCAGCACTTGAATGGTTTTATATTATATGGTTCTCAGCAATAGTATGCTTTAATGTTGAGTTGTCAGCAACTGTATGGTTTAATGTTGAGATCTCAGTAATTGTTTGGTTTAATGTTGAGATATCAGCAAATGTATGCTTAAATGTTGAGATCTCAGCAAAAGTATAGTTTAATGTGGAGATCTCAACAAATGTATAATTTAATTATCTCAGCAAATGTATAGTTTAATGTTGAGATCTCAACAAATGTATAATTTAATTATCTCAGCAAATGTATAGTTTAATGTGGAGATCTCAGCAAATGTATAGTTTAATGATCTCAGCAAATGTAAAGTTTAATGTGGAGATCTCAGCAAATGCATAATTTAATGATCTCAGCAAAAGTGTGTCCCACTGAGATCACTTTTATCTTTTATCCATCATTGAGGACCGTCTTAGATCCCTGGACCAGAAAACAATTATTTATCTTTTATCCATCTTTGAGGTCAGTCTGAGAGCTCTGGACAAGAAAACAATTATTTATCTTTTATCCATCTTTGAGGTCCGGCTGAGATCCCTGGACCAGAAAACAATTATTTATCTTGTATCCATCTTTGAGGTCCGGCTGAGATCTCTGGACCAGAAAACAATTATCCATCTCTGAGGTCCGGCTGAGATCCCTGGACCAGTAAATAATTATCTATCTCTGAGGTCTGGCTGAGATCCCTGGACTGGTGAAAGCAGGTTAAGGTAATGAAGTCAAACAGCTGTTTAGAAGCAAGCAAAGATGTGGACACAAAAGTAAGAGACAGATATGCACAATGCAGGGATATGGTTAGCTTGAGCAAGCAAAGATATAAATGAAACAAGAAAATAAAGTGGACAGGCACAATGTGCGGATGTAGTTAGCTTCAGCAAGCAAAAAAAATGTGGATACAAATGGTAAGAGAGGGACATACACACAATGCATGGATATGGCTAGCTTGAAAAAAATCAAAGATGTGGATACAAAATATAAGAGATGGATATACCCAAAAAGTGAATAAATAGCTAGCTTGAGGAGAAAGCAAAGACGTCGATTCAAAAAGTAATTGACTGATATATCATATATATATATAATATATATAATATATATATATATATATATATATATATATATATATATATATATATAATATATATATATATATATATATATATATATATATATATATATATATATATATATAATATGTGGATATGTGGCTATCTTGAGAAAGCCAAGATGTGGTTTAAAAAAAAGTAAGAGACGGATATACACATTATGTGGATGTATGGCTAGCTCAAGAAAGCAAAAATGTGGATACAAAAAAAGAGATGGATGTAAACAAAATATGGATATAGGGCTAACCTGAGAAAGCAAAGATGTGGATACAAAAAAGTGAGACATGGTTATACACATATTGAGGATATGTGGCTAGCTTAAGAAGGCAAAGATGTGGATTCAAAAAAAGTAAGAGATGGATGTACACATTATGTGGATATACGGCTAGCCTGAGAAAGCAAAGATGTGGATACAAAGAAGAGATGGATATACACATTAGATGGATATACGGCTAGCCTGAGAAAGCAAAGATGTGGATACAAAGAAGAGATGGATATACACATTATGTGGATATACGGCTAGCCTGAGAAAGCAAATATGTGGATACAAAGAGATGGATATACACATTATGTGGATATACGGCTAGCCTGAGAAAGCAAAGATGTGGATACAAAGAATTAAGAGATGGATATACACAATATGTGGATATATGGCTAGCTTAAGAAGGCAAAGATATGGATACAAAGAAAAAAAGATGAATACACATAATATGTGGATATATGGCTGGCTTGAGAAAGCAAATATGTGGATACAAAAAAGTAACAGATGTAAATACACAATATGTGGATATAAGGCTAGCCTGAGAAAGCAAAGGTGTGGATACAAAAAAAAAAGAGATGGACATATACAATGCATGTATATGGTTAGCCTGCAGACAGAAGACTGACAAGCAGCCAGCAATAATAATGTTGGTAGGACACTTACAAGAGCCAGACTAGACTTGGCTCGAACAAGCCGAGCCAGGACAGGGGAGACAGGTTTAATGAGAGGGTGACTGGAGCCATGGGACTGCAACTCCCACAGGTACCTGCTCAGTCTCTCCTACAGGAATACCACAACATACGTTAAGTAACCAGTCTCGACAGTTCAGTACACATACAAATAGTCAACTGACCAGTGTGGACAACACATCACAACACACAACTGCTCAACTGACCAGTGTAGACAGCACCATCACAACACACAACTGCTCAACTGACCAGTGTAGACAGCACCATCACAACACACAACTGCTCAACTGACCAGTGTAGACAGCACCATCACAACACACAACTGCTCAACTGACCAGTGTGGACAGCACATCACAACACACCACTGCTCAACTGACCAGTGTAGACAGCACATCACAACACACAATTGGTCAATTGATCAGTGTAGACAGCACATCACAACTGGTCAACTGACCAGTGTAGACAGCACATCACAACACACAATTGGTCAATTGATCAGTGTAGACAGCACATCACAACATACAATTGGTCAACTGATCAGTGTAGACAGCACCATCACAACACACAACTGCTCAACTGACCAGTGTAGACAGCACATCACAGCATACAATTGCTCAACTGACCAGTGTAGACAGCACATCACAGCATATGATTGGTCAACTGATCAGTGTAGACAGCACATCACAACACACAACTGCTCAACTGACCAGTGTAGACAGTACATCACAACATACAACTGGTCAACTGACCAGTGTAGACAGCACATCACAACATACAACTGGTCAATTGACCAGTGTAGACAGCACATCACAACATACAACTGGTCAACTGACCAGTGTAGACAGCACATCACAGCTTACAATTGGTCAACTGATCAGTGTAGACAGCACATCACAACTTACAATTGGTCAACTGATCAGTGTAGACAGCACATCACAACACACAACTACTCAACTGACCAGTGTAGACAGCACCATCACAACATACAACATACAACTGGTCAACTGACCAGTGTAGATAGCACCATCACAACATACAACTGGTCAACTGACCAGTGTAGACAGCACATCACAGCATACAATTGGTCAACTGATCAGTGTAGACAGCACCATCACAACATACAACTGGTCAACTGACCAGTGTAGACAGCACATCACAACATACAATTGGTCAACTGATCAGTGTAGACAGCACATCACAACATACAATTAGTCAAATGACCAGTGTAGACAGCACATCACAACATACAATTAGTCAAATCACCAGTGTAGACAGCACATCACAACATACAATTGGTCACATGACCAGTGTAGACAGGTCAATGAACTGGGAAACCAGGGATAATAAAACTCTTGACTCTGGTGTCCTAAAGATAACAACTGTAGAGATTGAACAGGGTATATTAAATCTGCCCTGTTGGTCTGTCATCCACATTTCCTTTTTAAATTTCAGGGTGGTAATGAGACAGCAGTCACAGGAGTACAAAAAGACTGACATCTTGGTGCTTCCATTTCTCCAACACCATCCTATCTCAAACTCTTTTATTTTCAGTATCTCTTTCATACGCACTCCCAGATGTCTCTCACTGTCCCCTCTCTCTCCTCATACATCTCTCTTCCTTTCTCTCTTCCATGTCTCTCTCACTGTGAATGTTTTGTTTAATGTTGAGATCTCAGTAATTTTATGGTTTAATGTTGAGATCTAAGTAATTTTATGGTTTAATGTTGAGATCTAAGTAATTTTAGGGTTTAATGTTGAGATGTTGAGATCTCAGCAAATGTGTGTCCTACTGAGATCCCTGGACCAGAAAACAATTATCTATCTCTGAGGCTTCCTCTCTCTCTCTCTCTCTCTCCCTCCCTCCCTCTTTCTCTCTCTCTCCCTCCCTCCTTATCTCCCTCCCTCCCTCTCATGTCCCTCTCTCTATCTCTCTTCCTCTCTCTATCCCTCCCTCCCTCTTTCTCTCTCTCCCTCCCTCCCTATCTACCTCCCTCCCTCTCATGTCCCTCTCTCTATCTCTCTTCCTCTCTCTATCCCTCCCTCCCTCTTTCTCTCTCTCCCTCCCTCTTTCTCTCTCTCCCTCCCTCCCTATCTACCTCCCTCCCTCTCATGTCCCTCTCTCTATCTCTCTTCCTCTCTCTCTCCCTCCCTCTTTCTCTCTCTCTCTCCCTCCCTCTCATGTCTCTCTCTCTCATGTCCCCCTCTCACTCCCCCCATGTCCCTCTCACTGCCCACTACCTCATACATACAAACCGACTGCAGACAGACATCTGACTGGCTTTACTGAACACTGAAACGACTGAATGCTGACAAAACTGACATCAGTTTCTGAACACTGATATAAATGACAGAGAACTGACAAACAGCAACAAGCCAACAATGGAAACGTGCATAAACTAAAACACATTTGAAGAAATAATCAAATTATTCTAGAAACCAATGCACACCGATAATAGAGACAAGCATAAGCTAAACACAATCGGGGCAATAAAATAAATATCTGCATCAAACAAAAGTCTAACACAAAGACAAGCATATGAGGGTTATTGCATTAAAATGGAATGAGATGTTAAAGTTCACACATGAAGCGAAGACAGAAAAGACCTGTGTATAACCAATGTGCTACAGGAACGGTCAGAACCCAGACCCGCTGCAGAAGACGGCGAATCTGTGGGTATGCTCAGGGTGCTATGATGTTGATTCTCAGATCAGTAACCAATAAACACAGATAAGAATGAGATCTTAAGATTCATACAGGGCTCCTGTCCCAATGAAGGAATGAGATGTTAAATTCACATATGTCAGGGCACTTACACTGAAGGAATGAGATTTGTGCACCGTGAGTAATGGTTTATGTTTGCGCAAGGCAAGAGGTGTCCAGGTCACTGTCTCCTCAACATGGCCGCTCTCATAAGTCTATAAGGGAAAAGCACGCAACAAACAAAGCCAATCAACATAAAATAATCAATTCAAAACCAACCCAATACAACAAGGCATGCACAAGCAACAACATAAATATGTGGCTGCCATCTAGACAGGGTTATCTATGGCTGCCTTCCTGACAGGGTCATCTAGACTGTCATCTTTGACAGAGTTATCAAGGACTATCCTCTGGACAGGGTTATCCATGTCTGCCATCTACACAGGGTTATCTGTGGTTATCTACGGCTGCCATCTAGACAGGGTTATCTGTGGATATCTAGGGCTGCTTTTTAACTCTCTGAGTCCCAGGGGGTTTATCATCACAGGCCCAAGGGGTAGTCAAGAGAGATGTAAAATCAGCGCATCATGGATTCATTGGGCCTCTAGGTAGGAATCTATGAATGTATGATGCGTTCCTTAGGACTCAAAGAACTAGAGTGGTTTATGTGTAGTTATCTGTGGCTGCCATCTAGAGTGGATTATTTGTAGTTATCTATGGCTGCCATCTAGACAGGTTTCTCTGTAGATATCTATGGCTGCCATCTAGACAGGTTTATCTGTGGTTATCTATGGCTGCTATCTAGACAGGTTTATCTGTGGATATCTATGGCTGCCACCTAGACAGGTTTATCTGTGGTTATCTATGGCTGCCATCTAGTGTGGATTATCTGTAGTTATATGTGGCTGCCATCTAGAAAGGATTATCTGTGGTTATCTATGGCTGCCATCTAGAGAGGATTATCTATGGTTATCTATGGCTGCTATCTAGACAGGGTTATCTGTGGCTGCCATCTAGACAGGTTTATCTATGGTTATCTATGGCTGCTATCTAGACACGGTTAGCTGTGGTTATCTATGGCTGCCATTTAGACAGGGTTAGCTGTGGTTATCTAAGGCTGTCATCTAGTGAGGATTATCTGTGGTTATCTGTGGCTGCCATCTAGAGAGGATTATCTATGGTTATCTATGGCTGCTATCTAGACAGGGTTATCTGTGTATATCTATGGCTGCTATCTAGAGTGGATTATCTGTAGTTATCTATGGCTGCCATCTAGACAGGGTTATCTGTGGATATTTATGGCTGCTGTCTAGAGTGGATTATCTGTAGCTATCTATGGCTGCCATCTAGACAGGGTTATCTGTGGATATCTATGGCTGCTATCTAGAGTGGATTATCTGTAGTTATCTGTGGCTGCCATCTAGAAAGGATTATATGTGGTTATCTATGGCTGTCATCTAAAGAGGATTATCTATGGTTATCTATGGCTGCTATCTAGACAAGGTTATCTGTGTGGATATCTATGGCTGCTATCTAGAGTGGATTATCTGTAGTTATCTATGGCTGCCATGTAGACAGGGTTATCTGTGGATATTTATGGCTGCTGTCTAGAGTGGATTATCTGTAGCTATCTATGGCTGCCATCTAGACAGGGTTATCTGTGGATATCTATGGCTGCTATCTAGAGTCGATTATCTGTAGTTATCTGTGGCTGCCATCTAGAAAGGATTATCTATGGTTATCTATGGCTGCCATTTAGACAGGATTATCTGTGGTTATCTACGGCTGCCATCTAGACAGGATTATCTGTGGTTATCTATGGCTGCCATCTAGAAGGATTATTTATGGTTATCTATGGCTGCCATCTAGACAGGATTATCTGTGGTTATCTATGGCTGTCATCTAGCGAGGATTATCTATGGTTATCTATGGCTGCCATCTAGAGAGGATTATATGTGATTACTTGTAGGTGCCACCTGGCCAGGGTTATCTGTGGTTTTTCTATTGCTGCTATCTAGACAGGGTTATCTGTGGACATCTATGGCTGCCATTTAGACAGGGTCATCTGTGGTTATCTATGACTGCCATCTAGACAGAGTTATCTGTGGTTATCTATGGCTGCCATCTAAACAGGGTTATCTGTGGCTGCCATCAAGACAGGGTTATCTACGGCTGCCATCTAGACAGTTTTCTGTGAATATCTATGGCTGCTATCTAGAGTGGATTATCAGTAGTTATCTATGGCTGCCATCTAGACAGGGTTATCTGTGGTTATCTATGACTGCAATCTAGCAGAGTTATATGTGGTTATTTATGGCTGCCATCTAGACAGGGTTATCTGTGGCTGCCATCTAGATGGGGGGGGAGGGGTGGGGGTTGTCATTGACTGTCATTTAGTCAGGGTTATCTTTGACGGTCATCTAAACATGTTTATATATGGCTGTCATCTAGACAGATCTATCTATGGCTGCCATCTAGACAGGGTTACATATGGCTGCTATCTAGACAGGATTATCTATGGCTGCCATCTAGACAGGGTTACCCCTAGTTGCCATCAAGTTTTCATTCAACACAGCCTGACCTCAGTGATCCCAGCGATGCCTAGAACTACAGCCTAATGACAGGAACTACAACATGATAACCTGGGTGCATTTAGCAATTATCACACAACACAATAAAGGGAAATGTATAAAACATCAGGACACACCACAACAGAGGTGTAGGTAGAAACCATCAAGCACAACAAAATACCTGGACATCTGTCTGATCAGATAGCTGTGACATGTGTGGTGGCGTCGGCAGCAAGACTGCTGATATCTGTGATGGTTGTGGTGACGGAGATAATGTGTGCTGTTGTGCTAGTTGGTGTGGTTTGTCTTTCATCTTGTCCAGCTTCTCAGACTTACTCTCCCTCAATAACTTGTCCTTGGAGGGCAGAGCTGGCGGCTGAAGAGACATAAAAAATTAGCCTGAATCTACAGACTGGCCAGGCAAGGATGCATAAAGTCATAGCTTCACCATCAATCCTCTACTAACGGAATTTTTCACTGATTTCACAGCAAACAAGTCAGCAGTCAGACAAGTTGACATCCCTGCCAAGAAACAAATAGGCAAGCAGTCAGACAAGTTGACATCCATGCCAAGAGACAAAGAGGCCAGCAGTCAGACAAGTTGACATCCATGCCAAGAAACAAAGAGGCCAGCAGTCAGACAAGTTGACATCCATGCCAAGAAACAAAGAGGCCAGCAGTCAGACAAGTTGACATCCATGCCAAGAGACAAAGAGGCCAGCAGTCAGACAAGTTGACATCCATGCCAAGAGACAAAGAGGCCAGCAGTCAGACAAGTTGACATCCATGCCAAGAGACAAAGAGGACAGCAGTCAGACAAGTTGACATCCATGCCAAGAGACAAAGAGGCCAGCAGTCAGACAAGTTGACATCCATGCCAAGAGACAAAGAGGCCAGCAGTCAGACAAGTTGACATCCATGCTAAGAGACTAAGAGGCCAGCAATCAGACAAGTTGACATCCATGCCAAGAAACAAAGGGGCCAGCAGTCAAACAAGTTGATATCCACACCAAGAGACAAAGAGGCCAGCAGTCAGACAAGTTGACAACCATGCCAAGAAACAAAGAGGCCAGCAGTCAGACAAGCTGACATCCATGCCAAGAGACAAAGAGGCCAGCAGTCAGACAAGCTGACATCCATGCCAAGAAACAAAGAGGCCAGCAGTCAGACAAGTTGACATCCACAGACACACATGCAAACACATTCACACATGCAGACACATACACACATGCACAAACACACACAGACACACACATGCTGAAATACAAGCAAACACTCACATGAGGACACAAACAAAAACATGAACACACACAACAAAGACACATACACAAACACAATTTACACACACATACACACAGACAAATACACAGAGAGACACATGTGCAGACACACACAAGCACAGACACACAAGCACAGAAACACAGATACACATACACACAGATAAAAGCACATACAGATACACACACAGACAGACACAGACAAACACGCAGACACAAACACATACAAATATACACACACAGAAAAACACCCAGACACACACGCAGACACACACACACAGACAAACATACACAGACAGAGACCACACATGAGCAGATTAAAACTAAGCACTGATGTCCAAGAGGGACCAGACATGAGCAGACCCAAAAAGTACATGCTTACACTTGCTTGAACGTGTCCAGAGGTGGCCGGGGTGCCAGAGCTACTGGTTGAGTGACTGCTGACGCTGTGACTGTCACTGGGCTTGCTGCTGTAGAAGGATCGCTGGCCGTGGTTGGGGGTGGAGGCTACGGGTGCAGGCACTGATGGGATATTTGGATAGCGCATCTGGACAATCCGTTGGCAAGCTGGACACAGATTGTGTGATATATTATATGTGTGAATAAACTAAGGGTAGTAGGTGATATATGACCAATTCTAGTGTCAGAAAGATGTCACAAAATACAACAAATAACTGCCACAACATACAACAGTCAGATCACTGACACAAAGTACAACAGTAAGATCACTGACACAACATACAACAGATCACTGACACAACATACAACAGATCACTGACACAAAGTACAACAGTAAGATCACTGACACAACATACAACAGATCACTGACACAACATACAACAGATCACTGACACAAAGTACAACAGTAAGATAACTGACACAACATACAACAGATCACTGACACAACATGCAACAGATTACTAACACAAAGTACAACAGTAAGATCACTGACACAACATACAACAGTTAGATCACTGCCACAATATAAAACAGTAAGATCACTGACACAACATACAACAGTTAGATCACTGCCACAATATAAAACAGTAAGATCACTGACACAACATACAACAGTTAGATCACTGCCACAAAATAAAACAGTAAGATCACTGACACAACATACAACAGTTAGATCACTGCCACAATATAAAACAGTTAGATCACTGACACAACATACATAACTGAATCGACATACTTGGTCAGCTTTACTGAATCGGATGTCAATTTCTTCATAAACATTCTTCAACATGTAACAGTCAGATTACTAAATGTGACACACAACAGTCAGATTACTGAATCTGACACACAGTCAGATTACTGAATCTGACACACAACACTCAGATCACTGTTTCAACATACAACAGTCAAATCACTAAATCGACACACAACAGTCAAATCACTAAATTTGACACACAACAGTCAGATTACTGAATCTGCACACAAGAGTAGATAACTGAATCAACACACAACAATCAAATCACTGAATCTCACACACAACAGTCAAATCAATGAATCACAACACTCAGGTAAAATCAAAACACAACAGTCAGATAACTGTATCGACACACACCAGTCAGATCACTGTATCAACACACAACAGTCAGATCACTGTATCAACACACAACAGTCAGATCACTGTATTGGCATACAAAAGTCAAATCACTGAATCTGACACATAACAGTCAAATTACTGAATCTCACACACAACAGTCAGATCAATGTATCAACATACAACAGTCAGATGATTGAATCAACACACAAATGTCAGGTCACTGTATCGACATACAACAGTCAGATAATTGAATTGACACACAACAGTCAGATTACTGTATCGACATACAACAGTCAGATAACTGAATTGACACACATCAGTCAGATCACTGTATCGACACACAAAGGTCAGATAATTGAATCGACAGACAACAGTCAGATCACTGAATCGACAGACAACAGTCGGATCACTGAATCAACAGACAACAGTCAGATTACTGAATCGACAGACAACAGTCAGATCACTGAATCAACAGACAACAGTCAGATCACTGAATCGACAGACAACAGTCAGATCACTGAATCGACAGACAACTGCCGGATCACTGAATCAACAGACAACAGTCAGATTACTGAATCGACAGACAACAGTCAGATCACTGAATCAATAGACCACATTCAGATCACTGAATCGACAGACAACAGTAAGATTACTGAATCAACAGACAACAGTAGATGGACTACTTGCCATCCTGGAAAACCCTCTCCACATTTAGCCCGTAAGTAGCGCAAGTTTCATAGTAGGAGCAACGTTTGAGGTCACTGGCCAGTTTTCTTGCTCTGGTGTCATCAATGACCCGTGGGTTGCTCTCACTGATGGCATCTGGCAAAGAAACAAAATGTCCGATCAATGGCAATAACAAGCCCGCAGCAAATAAAACACATCTGTCAGTAATCATATATTTTTATAAACCAATCGGCGCTTGTTCTTAAGCTACAGTTCGGTATCGTAATAAACAGCACAGAGAACCCACACAAGGATACACACATCATGAGAGGTCAAAGGTTGATGCAGTCGCAATATTGAACTGGTGGAAAACGTACACACACATCATTTATATATATATATATATATATATATATATATATATATATATATATATATATATATATATATATATATATATATATATATATATATATATATATATATATATATATATAAAAACAGTGCTCATGATCATGTGGCTGGAGCATAACTATAACAAAAAGGACATAATTTACAGAGAACCATCAGCACCATTTTGTGTTTTCTGTATAACAGTTGTGTATGTTCCCTGACCACAGTTGTGTATGTTCCCTGACGACAGTTGTGTATGTTCTCTGATGGCAGTTGTGTATGTTCCCTGACTGCAGTTGTGTATGTTCCCTGACTGCAGTTGTGTATGTTCCCTGACTGCAGTTGTGTATGTTCCCTGACTGCAGTTGTGTATGTTCCCTGACCACAGCTGTGTATGTTCCCTGACCACAGTTGTGTATGTTCCCTGACTGCAGTTGTGTATGTTCCCTGACTGCAGTTGTGTATGTTCCCTAACTGCAGTTGTGTATGTTCCCTAACTGCAGTTGTGTATGTTCCCTGACTGCAGTTGTGTATGTTCCCTGGCCACAGTTGTGAATGTTCCCTGACCACAGTTGTGTATGTTCCCTGACCACAGTTGTGTATGTTCCCTGACCACAGTTGTGTATGTTCCCTGACCACAGTTATGTATGTTCCCTGACTGCAGCTGTGTATATGGTGGACAGATTACAGAAACACAGAGGTGCTGATGCAAGCCCAGGGGGGAGGAACTGCAGTAAAAGCCTATGACACTGAAAATATGGCAATTACAGAAATATCCGCAGGTAAAAGACAGTATAACTGCACGGGGGGATGTGCTCAATATCATGGTGGGCACCTTAACTTTCCAGAAGATTGTCTGGTACATCTTCATTACCCCGATTCACAGATTTAATAGTTACTGGTTACCGTGGCTCACAGATTTAACAATCATTACTGGTTACTGTGGCTCACAGATTTAACAATCATTACTGGTTACCATGGCTCACAGATTTAACAAGTATTACTGGTTATGGCAGCTCACAGATTGAACAATTATTACTGATTATGGCAGCTCACAGATTGAACAATCATTGCTGGTTACTGTGGCTCAAAGATTTAACAATCATTACTGTTACCATAGCTCACATATTTAACAAGTATTACTGGTTGTGGCAGCTCACAGATTTAACAATCATTATTAGTTACTGAGGCTCACAGATTTAACAATTATTACTGGTTACTGTGGCTCAAAGATTTAGCAATCATTACTGGTTATTGCAGCTTACAGATTTAATAATCATTACTAGTTACTGAGGCTCACAGATTTAACAATCATTACTGGTTATGGCAGCTCACACATTTAACAATCATCACTGGTTATGAAAGCTCACACATTTAACAATCACTACTGGTTATGGAAGCTCACAGATTTAAAAATCATTACTGGTTACTGTGGCTCAGATCTAACAATCATTACTGGTTATGGCAGCTCAAAGATTCAACAATCATTAATGGTTATAGCAGCGCACAAATTTAACAATCGTTACTGGTTATGGCAGCCCACACATTCAACAATCATTGCTGGTTACGACAGCTCACAGATTTAACAATCATTACTGGTTTCTGCAGCTGAGATTTAACAATCAATACTGGTTATGGCAGCCCACACATTCAACAATCATTGCTGGTTATGGCAGCTCACAGATTTAACCATCATTACTGATTTCTGCAGCTCACAGATTTAACCATCATTACTGGTTTCTGCAGCTCACAGATTTAACCATCATTACTGGTTTCTGCAGCTCACAGATTTAACCATCATTACTGGTTATGACAGCTCACAGATTTAACAGTCATCACTGGTTATGGCAGCCCACACATTCAACAATCATTGCTGGTTATGGCAGCTCACAAATTTAACAATTATTACTGGTTACTGTGGCTCACAGATTTAACAATCATTACTGGTTACTGTGGCTCACAGATTTAACAATCATTACTGGTTACTGTGGCTCACAGATTTAACCATCATTACTGGTTTCTGCAGCTCACAGATTTAACCATCATTACTGGTTTCTGCAGCTCACAGATTTAACCATCATTACTGGTTATGACAGCTCACAGATTTAACAGTCATCACTGGTTATGGCAGCCCACACATTCAACAATCATTACTGGTTATGACAGCTCACAGATTTAACAGTCATCACTGGTTATGGCAGCCCACACATTCAACAATCATTGCTGGTTATGGCAGCTCACAAATTTAACAATTATTACTGGTTACTGTGGCTCACAGATTTAACAATCATTACTGGTTACTGTGGCTCACAGATTTAACAATCATTACTGGTTACTGTGGCTCACAGATTTAACAATCATTACTGGTTTCTGCGGCTCACAGATTTAACAATCATTACTGGTTTCTGCGGCTCACAGATTTAACAATTATTACTGGTTACTGTGGCTCACAGATTTAACAATCATTACTATATTCTAAACAATCAGCAAGAGCATGCCCAAGTGAGGTAGTTACCTTGAGTCCCCACCAGGATCAGAGGGATCTCCTTGGTGTCTCGGTACTGCCTCATCTTGGCATAATGGCTGTGGATTGCCTGGAAGCTCATCTCGTTCTCCAGACTGAATACAAGGATCACTGCATCCACCCAGTGGGTCAGCTGTAATCAAACATGCAAATGCATTGAATACTTATCCACCCACTGGATTAGCTACAATCAAATGTAATACCCCCTAGCCAATCAACTGGTATTCTGATAATCTCTAACTAATCAGCTAGCAGAGTATGATAATAAGATCATAAGAGATAAGATCAGGAATGAGATCATAAGAGAAAAAGTCAGCACAGAACCAATTCTAAATTACATACAAAGACAGCAAGTGAAATGGTTTGCCCACTTAGAGAGAATGCCTTGTGACACCATACCATACGTGGAAAGAGAAGAAGGTCGTAGAGCAAGAGGTAGACCAAGAACAACATGGAAGGATAACATCAGAGAAGCTCTACAACAGCACAATGTGCCTATGGTCGAGGCGGCCAGAAGAGCCAGAAACAGAACCTTATATCTCCCTCGACACCCACAGCGGTAAAAGAGGAAGTGAAGAAGAAGAAGAAGAAGAAGAAGAGTATGATACCCCCTAGCCAATCAGCTGGTAGTGTGTGAGACCCCCAGCCAATCAACTGGTAGTTTGATACTCTCTAACCAACCAACTAGTAAAGTATGATATTCCTAGCCAATCAACTGGCAGTGTGTAATGCCCCCAAGCCAATCAGGTAGTACTGTGTGATACCCCCAGCTAATCAGCTGGTAGTGTGTGAGACCCCCAGCCAATCAACTGGTAGTTTGATACTCTCTAACCAACCAACTAGTAAAGTATGATATTCCTAGCCAATCAACTGGCAGTGTGTAATGCCCCCAAGCCAATCAGGTAGTACTGTGTGATACCCCCAGCTAATCAGCTGGTAGTGTGTTACCCCCAGCCAATCAGCTGGCAATTTAATACTCTCTAGCTAATCAGCTGGTACTGTGTGTGATGCCCCTAGCCAATCTGTTTGATAGTGTGATACTCTAGCCCAGGGGTTCTCAACCTGTATTAAAGGGTTATGTAATTAGGAAGGTGGACAGCCACTGCTCTAGCCAATCATTTACATGAATGCTCTAGCCAATAACTTTCACAAACACATGTGAATACATAAGTGTACCATACATCAAAATAAACAATGCAAGTTACATTCCATCAATGTTACCATACACTAAGGGTGACTCTGAAGAAATATGTTGCCTCTAAAGTGCACAGACAGTAGCATCCACAAAGACCTCCCTCTTGTATATTAGAGCTGTGTCAATATTGCAGACAGTCAAGTTTATCATTTTAGTCGTTGCAAGTTATAGCTTTTGACAACAGAACTAAAAGAATATAGTTGAATGCATGTGTGAAGACCCAACAGAAAGAATGTAGTTGAATGCATGTGTGAAGACCCAACAGAAAGAACATAGTTGAATGCATGTGTGATGATCCAACAGAAAGGATATAGTTGAATGTGTGATGATCCAACAGAAGGAATATAGTTGAATGCATGTGTGATGATCCAACAGAAAGGATATAGATGAATGCATGTGTGGTGATCTAACAGAAAGGATATAGCTGAATGCATGTGTGATGATCCAACAAAAAGGATATAGTTGAATGCATGTGTGGTGATCTAACAGAAAGGATATAGCTGAATGCATGTGTGATGATCCAACAAAAAGAACATAGTTGAATGCATGTGTGATGATCCAACAAAAACAACATAGTTGAATGCATGTGTGATGATCCAACAGGATAAACATAGTTGAATGCATGTGTGATGATCCAATTGAAAGGACATAGTTGAATGCATGTGTGATGATCCAACAGAAACAACATAGTTGAATGCATGTGTGATGATCCAACTGAAAGGACATAGTTGAATGCATGTGTGATGATCCAACAGAAACAACATAGTTGAATGCATGTGTGATGATCCAACTGAAAGGACATAGTTGAATGCATGTGTGATGATCCAACTGAAAGGACATAGTTGAATGCATGTGTGATGATCCAACAGAAACAACATAGTTGAATGCATGTGTGATGATCCAACAGAAACAACATAGTTGAATGCATGTGTGATGATCCAACAGAAACAACATAGTTGAATGCATGTGTGATGATCCAACAGAAACAACATAGTTGAATGCATGTGTGATGATCCAACAGAAACAACATAGTTGAATGCATGTGTGATGATCCAACAGAAACAATATAGTTGAATGCATGTGTGATGATCCAACAGAAACAATATAGTTGAATGCATGTGTGATGATCCAACAGAAACAACATAGTTGAATGCATGTGTGATGATCCAACAGAAACAACATAGATGAATGCATGTGTGATGATCCAACAGAAACAATATAGTTGAATGCATGTGTGATGATCCAACAGAAACAACATAGTTGAATGCATGTGTGATGATCCAACAGAAACAACATAGATGAATGCATGTGTGATGATCCAACAGAAACAACATAGTTGAATGCATGTGTGATGATCCAACAGAAAGGACATAGTTGAATGCATGTGTGATGATCCAACAGAAAGGACATAGTTGAATGCATGTGTGATGATCCAACTGAAAGGACATAGTTGAATGCATGTGTGATGATCCAACTGAAAGGACATAGTTGAATGCATGTGTGATGATCCAACAGAAACAACATAGTTGAATGCATGTGTGATGATCCAACAGAAACAACATAGTTGAATGCATGTGTGATGATCCAACAGAAACAACATAGTTGAATGCATGTGTGATGATCCAACAGAAACAACATAGTTGAATGCATGTGTGATGATCCAACAGAAACAACATAGTTGAATGCATGTGTGATGATCCAACAGAAACAACATAGTTGAATGCATGTGTGATGATCCAACAGAAACAATATAGTTGAATGCATGTGTGATGATCCAACAGAAACAACATAGTTGAATGCATGTGTGATGATCCAACAGAAACAACATAGATGAATGCATGTGTGATGATCCAACAGAAACAATATAGTTGAATGCATGTGTGATGATCCAACAGAAACAACATAGTTGAATGCATGTGTGATGATCCAACAGAAACAACATAGTTGAATGCATGTGTGATGATCCAACTGAAAGGACATAGTTGAATGCATGTGTGATGATCCAACAGAAAAAATATAGTTGAATGCATGTGTGATGATCCAACAGAAACAATATAGTTGAAGGCATGTGTGATGATCCAACAGAAACAATATAGTTGAATGCATGTGTGATGATCCAACAGAAACAATATAGTTGAATGCATGTGTGGTGATCCAACAGAAAGGACATAGTTGAATGCATGTGTGATGATCCAACAGAAAGGACATAGATGAATGCATGTGTGATGATCCAACAGAAAGGACATAGATGAATGCATGTGTGATGATCCAACAGAAAGGACATAGTTGAATGCTTGTGTGATGATCCAACAGAAACAATATAGTTGAATGCATGTGTGATGATCCAACAGAAACAATATAGTTGAATGCATGTGTGATGATCCAACAGAAACAATATAGTTGAATGCATGTGTGGTGATCCAACAGAAAGGACATAGTTGAATGCATGTGTGATGATCCAACAGAAAGGACATAGATGAATGCATGTGTGATGATCCAACAGAAAGGACATAGATGAATGCATGTGTGATGATCCAACAGAAAGGACATAGTTGAATGCATGTGTGATGATCCAACAGAAACAATATAGTTGAATGCATGTGTGATGATCCAACAGAAACAACATAGTTGAATGCATGTGTGATGATCCAACTGAAAGGACATAGTTGAATGCATGTGTGATGATCCAACAGAAAGGACATAGTTGAATGCATGTGTGATGATCCAACTGAAAGGACATAGTTGAATGCATGTGTGATGATCCAACTGAAAGGACATAGTTGAATGCATGTGTGATGATCCAACAGAAACAATATAGTTGAATGCATGTGTGATGATCCAACTGAAACAATATAGTTGAATGCATGTGTGATGATCCAACAGAAACAACATAGTTGAATGCATGTGTGATGATCCAACTGAAAGGACATAGTTGAATGCATGTGTGATGATCCAACTGAAAGGACATAGTTGAATGCATGTGTGATGATCCAACTGAAAGGACATAGTTGAATGCATGTGTGATGATCCAACTGAAAGGACATAGTTAAATGCATGTGTGATGATCCATTTTCCATCAAAAGGAGAAAATCAAGAATCAGACCAAAAATAATAAATTATATGCAAAAAATCAATGAGAGCCCTTAAGAGCTGGTAAATATACACATATGACTTAAAGCCACTGCTACTTGATTACTACTTAAATCCTAGAGACTTCGACCTCCAGTGATCACTGCACAGAATTCTACGTGACTGAATAAACAGTTGTATTGGCTCTCTTGAGTTACCAAAGTCATTTTTTTTCCATTTTTTTTTTTTGGAGTTGAATGTAGTTCATCGATATCATTTGAGAAGAATGCATACACTGAGCCAACAAAACAAGTGCATCACACATGGCGCAACACTTTGATTTGCAGATTTAACTGATAACATTATTTGACTGTGCCCACAACACTTTGATTTACAGATTTAACTGATAACATTTTTTTGACTGTGCCCAATGTGTCTGTAGTATGAACAGCAGATTCAGACTATTGTGAGTGGCCTGTAACCAGAGAACTTGTGGTGCCATATGCAATAAATTGCACAGGGAACTACTGGTCTGTTGTAACTGCTGCTTCCATCAACAATGAACTGCACTTCTAGCATTGGGCAGCTTCTGTTAGAACTTCTGTCTGCTGCCTTTTGCATTTAATGTGTGTGTTAATGAAGCATAGAAATGGTGCAACTATGGGGTGACCCCTTTGCTATGAAGTTGGAACTGTGAATACTTTATTACCTAACCTAAACTCTGACCTCTGGTGAGCTTTCAATACATAACACAAGAAAGAAACATTCATAATAACAAACAGAATATGTGTACATGTGAACTCAGGGGCATAACACAAGAAAGAAACATTCATAATAACAAACACAACATGTGTACATGTGAACTCATG